GAAGCTTCCCCTTGGTGATCTGGGGAGGAAGCATTGGTTGGGGGACAGAGAACCTGTTTTAGGCTCCCAGAGCCATAGAGCCACCATCTCCCTCAAGTCATTCTAGGCTCAAGGGCCAGGTGGCAGGTTCACTCTCATGTCTAAGTCACACTATCAGTAGAGACTTGTCAGTCATCTTCCCATGTACAGAACACTCCCCTATGTCAAGTCACATCTTGAGATCTAAGAAGTCACAGATCGGGCCAGGCATGATGGCTCATGCCTGTCATCTCAGCACTTTGGGAAGCTGAGGTTGGTGGATCACCTGAGGTCGGGAGTTCAAGACCACCCAGACCAACATGGCGAAACCTCATCTTTACTAAAAATACAAAATTAGGTCAGGCGTGGTGGCTCACGCCTGTAATCTCAGCACTTTGGGAGGCCAAGGCAGGTAGATCACCTTCGAGACCAGCCTGACCAACATGGATAAACCCTGTGTCTATTAAAAATACAAAATTAGCTGGGTGTGGTGGCACATGCCTGTAGTCCCAGCTACTCGGGAGGCTGAGGCAGGAGAATCCCTTGAACCCAGGGAGTGGACATTGCAGTGAGCTGAGACCACGCCATTACACTCCAGCCTGGGCAACAAGAGGGAAACTCTGTCTCAAAAAAAAAAAAAAAATTATGAAATACAAATTAGAAATTAGCCGGGCATGGTGGTGCATGCCTGTAATCCCAGCTACTCAGGAGGCTGAGGCAGGAGAATCACTTGAACCTGGCGGGGGGGTGGGGTGGAGGTTGTGGTGAGCTGAGATTGCACCATTGCACTACAGCCTGGGCAACAAAAGCAAAACTCCATCTCAAAAAAAAAAATAAAGTCATAGATCAAGAAAAACAATTCCCACCCTCAGGGATCTGCAGGGTTGTGGAAGGCAACACCCTCTGTGAGAGATCCTGGGCACCCATGCCTTCAGTTCCTTGTTCCCAGACTGAGAATAGGACCAGGATGAGGGTGGAAAAGTTCCCATTTCTTGAGCACTTATTCTGCCCTGTCCAGGGAGCCTTGTGTGTATGACCTCCCTTAGCACGAGAGCTCTGCCTCTGGGGGATGGTACTCTCCGACTAGAGAGGAGGAAGCTACAGCCCAGGGATGTAACTTGCCCAAGATCACACATTTAGTGAGTGGTGGACCTGGGATTCGGATCCTGCTCTGGTTGATTCCAGATACCCCGTGCCTGCCGGGGGCATGCTAGGGCCAGACTCCTCCCACAACCCCGAGCCACCGCCCAGACTCACATCTTGCCACCGCCCAGACTCACATCTTGCCGGGTTGTTGCATAGTGAAGAATCCCATCCTCGAGCACAAAGTATCTCTTTGATGTTGCCCAGGAATGACAGGACCAGGGAGGCCGAGAGGAAGGACATGAGGGAGAACCACACAGATCAGCTTTTCTTTCCCTTCTCATGATGCAAACACCATTGCACTGCCCGGCAGCTGCCCCCATTCCCACCTGCCGCCACGTCTGGCCCCTCCCTCTGCCTGCCCGCCCTACCTTGTGCCAGCCCTTCAGAGGCCACTTCCTCTTCTTGAGCAGGTGGCCCTCCTGCCTCTCAGGCATGACACCCTCTGTCCCCAGCCTGCCCTGAGGCTCCTCCACCACCTCCCACAGCTCAGAGGCCTGCAGTGCAGGACAGAGGGAGGAGAGCACTGGTGAGACATCAGCCTCAGCCCCTCCTGGTCTGGTTCAAGGTTGGCCCACCCACCACCGCTTTCCCACTCTCTGACCTGCTGAGCACTGCTGGGCTTTGAGGACTGAGCGCTCTCAGGCAGGAAGGGAGCGTCCCTCTCTTGGAAGTCCATGGAGAGGGAGAGGCTACTCCCTGCTGAGGATGAAGAGCAGGGAGCAGGGTGGAAGGGGAAGGATATCACCTGGTCCTGATGGGGTCCTTGAAGCAAGAGAAAGTCCCCCTTAATGCAGACCTGCTATCACCTTCCCCACCTCCAACCCCCCTCCAACACACCCTCTGAGATAAGGGCTCCCAACGCACACTGCTCACCTGCCACACCTCTCCCAACTCTGCCCCTCTGCCCCAACCCCACCCATTTTCACCGGATATGGATATTGCCCTGAGAGATGAACTAGCACACAGCAGACGGGCAGGTGCGCAGGGAAACAAGACATATGCCCAGCCCCGCCTTGGGCACATACTCTAGGGCTCCAGGAAACATTCAGGGCTTTCTTTGGAGGCTTCCCTGGGAGTGCTCAGAGGTGAAGCAAGGGAGTGACAGAACAGGCTCCAAGAAGAGACAGAGGGGTTCAGAGACTGAACAAATGAGACCTCCTGAATCCAACTGCCTCGCCCTCAGTACCCATCCGCCCTGCCGCCATGGCTCAGAGGCTTCTCTCCCATGATCCCCTGGCAGAAAATGCCCCAGCCTCCCACCGATTGGTCTCCATATTCTTTAGTGTTTGGAGAAACTGAGGCCTGAGATAGCCCCCACTTTCCCATGTCTCCTCCCACCAAACATGCCCTTAGGATGCCCTCTTTGGACCCTCAGTGCCCCCTAAAGCCTCACCATCCCGTCTACCATATCAGTCCTTGGAGCTCTGAGAAGTGCCACCCACCCCGAGAGGGCAGGACACTGGGCTAACGGAGACACTGCACAAGAGAAGAGGGGGCCCAGGACATGCCCAGGTCTGCACAGGTCCTGCAGCAGTGCCCACAGGCGCCCTTGGCACCGGCCCTGGCTATTCTGGCTCCTCCAGGAGATCAATAATGCATGAGGCTCTGCGTGTGTGTGAGATGGGGGAGGGGACTGAGGGGCGAGGCTGGCTGAGGTGGGGGAAGCAGCCCAGATCTTCTAATGGAGCTAGCAAGCACCTGAGGAACTTAAGCCAAGAGGGGACAGAGATGTGGTATCACGAACAAGTGCTCAGGAGGTCGGGGCAGAGGGACCTTGCTGCAAGAGGCTGAGCTGGGAGGAAACTCCTACATTCAGCAGTTCCCAAACTCTTCCGGTGTTCAGGTGTCTCTGCGCCCTTCTCCCGGCCCTGTGGGGGTCCTGGCCCCTCACTGCTTGCGGGTGGAGGGGGAGGCTCTATCGGCAGGACGGTGAGGGGTCTAGCTAGGCGAGCCTGGTGGGTGCCCCTCTCCACCTCCATTCCCACCATCTCGGAAGCAGACCCACCAGCTTCAGGTGGGAGGAAGCTCTTCTCCGGGAATGTCGGCTGCTGTCACGCAGCCCCCTTACCCCAGAGTCCATGGACGCCAGTGCTCCTTGGCCCTCACGCCGCTCTGCCTCTGAGTCACCAGCTCCCTCCTCACAGAGCTGAGCAGTGGCAGCAGTTGCTGCAGGAACCAGGAAGGAGACGTCGGAGCCTCCCCTCTAGCCGGATCTCCCCACCTCCCTCTCCCCTGTCCCCTCCTCCTGCCAAGCTCCGGGCAGCCGCTCAGCTCTGCCCCCCTGCTCCCCGGAGGACTCAGGGCTAAGCAGACTGCCCTGGCATGATTGTGGCTTGGGAGTGGGGGCATAGTCCCAACTGGGCATAGTTCCAGATAGATCAGAGGACTGGGAAACTGCTGGCTGTATGCCAATGGTGGTAAAGGATTTATTCAGACTAGCATGGCAGTGACCCTGCTAGTGCCCAAGGCCAATTCCTAACCAACTCTCCCACCCCCATCTCTCATTTTACATCTGAAAATAGACTGCAAAATTTGGAGCCAGCAAAAGTATCAGATTGATGGTGGAGGGAGATGCCCCCTCCAGGACCATAAGAGAGTGCCAAGAGCAGTCAGCAGGGCCAGTCAAGTCAGGAGAGGGACAGCCAATAGTCCCCACACTGAGGCCTTTCACTGGGGGTGATTTCCCACCAGGTCAGGCCCCATGGGGATCTGAAAATGCCTGTGCAGTCGATGACACCCCACAACCTGCAGGGTCTGAGCAGGAGCAGGCCTGGGGCAGTCACAGCTGCTGTTAAAAGGGCTGTAACGCTGGTCCCCACTTCCCTTTGCCCTTCTGCTGGAGTACTGTGCCCAGCTGCTCAATTCTAATGAAAAATCTGCTCTTAACAAAGATCTAAAATTCATTCAAATGAATGTGGCACAGACCTACAGCTTTAAGTGCAGCAAAGTGTTCTGGAAAGAAGTAGGTGGGGCCTCAGGTGAAGGATGAGATTCAAGTTTCTTCTCCGACCCCAAAAGTGACATAGGCCACGTATCCCCTCCACTTCATCCTCACCGGGCTTGGTTTGTTTCAGGGTCTCACATATCTCTCAGGGATGCCTGCTGTCTTGGCTCTATTCAGAGTCTCAGCACTGCTCCAGCCATCCCAGGAGGAAGGCATTGTTAGCACCTGGCAGGGTTCTGGGAGGGACAAAGCTGCTAAGGAGCACTGGGCAGCACTGGCCAGACTAGCTCTGGCATCTAGGAGCCTCAAGGGCCTTTTAAGCCACTTTCCAGTGATTAAACATCCCCGGGCATACAGCACAGGGAAAGGCACTGTGGGAAGCTGGTCCTGGCCCAGGCTGCAAAAAAGCTGCTGCAGATCATCCCTGCCAGACAGTACCTGTCCAAGACTAAGGAAGCAGTGGCATCGCTTCAAGTCCAAGAAGGAATGTTGAATAGCCACCGTCCCCAGGTCACCCCTGCATCCACCCAGAATGTGCTCCAATCGAGGATGGTGCGCTTCGAGTTAAGCATCCTATCTTCCTTTTTAGGAACTTCTGGTTCACCAAGACTTGCATGAGGCCTCCTACTCTCCTACTCGATAGAGCCCTCAGAATTCAGAGAATCCTACTTTCCCCCAGCCCTTTTGTTCAGAACCACCAGAATTGTTAGCTAGTGGGCACAGCTGTCAGCTGCCTTTAACAGGGCAAGCACGCACAGGATGCCACTGTGGCAACAGGTACAGAGGAAGAGGATTTTCCTAGGAAGGGAAGTGAGACTGAGGAAAGTCAGAGGACAGAGAAGCCCCTGAGAATAAGTCTATAGGGAGGACAACTGTGGAAACCATGAAACAGAGGAAGTAGAATGCATTTCATTTGAGCATAAAGCAGTGCTCCCAAACTTTCCACAGCATGGCACACCCCAAGGGCGGAGAATTAACATCCAAGCACACCAGGATGGAAGATGGGACCCACTTCTGGGTAACCTGATGAGGAAGCTCCAGTGTAGAAATTCAGGATGCAGTCTTCAGAGCAGAGAGGGCCTGGTTCAAATTCACGTTCTGCCATTACTAAATGCATGACCTTGTGCAAGCTACTTAATTTCTGTTCCTTCTTTGTGAAATGGGTACCATGTGGTCAGGAGTTCAGGAATTAATACATGTACAGTGTTCAGCATGGAGCCTGGCACACAGCAGGCTCTCACCAGGTGCCATCCTCAGCACAACTGCTTGGTTGAGCTACTATGGTAGTGGCAGGTTGTGATCCAAGAGGGTGGGCTTAGGAGCCCATGCAGCAAGGGGCAGTGACCAAGGAGGCAGGGGTAATAGCCTTCTCTTTTCAGCATCTCTGCCTTGGACCTGGAGAATGGAAAGAGACTTTGCTCCTATCAGGTCCCAAGTTGGGAAAACTAAGGACAAAGCCAGTGACTGATAGCCTCCATTTGAAAGGGAATCCTTTGCATCTCAGAGTGGCCTATACTTGACTATCATTGTTAGCGAAACCCAAATGACAAATGCACTCCCTCACCCCAAGTTCTTCCACATCTCCCATGGAGGACAGCACAGCCAATAGGGCAGAGTGTATTTATGGGCAGGGCTGGCTAAACAAGCTGGCTACGAGTCCGGAACACGGTCAGGAGGATCTGGCTTCCCGTTGGCCGACACAACAGAATCCTCGCGTTGCTGTCTGATGTACTGGTCCAACAGGGTGGTCAGCTGGAGGGGCTGGTGCTGGAGCAGGGAGTGGGTCTGGGCCGTGATGCAGGTGAGGCCTCCTACAAGCTCCCCCTGCACCAGGGGCAAGCTGGGGAGCTTGGAATAGTTGATAAAGCCCTCCCTGCTAAGGATAGTGTCATCGATGCAGCCACCTGGAAGAAAACAGGATCAGTTGGGTTCCTTGCAGATGCCTTTCTTCTCTGAAACAACATTCTGACTCTAGGAACTTGCTTTCCATTGCCCTTGTCAAAATCCTGCCTTCCCCAGGACCTGGGTTCCACCGTGCCCCTTGCCACTCCCACTCTCTTGGGATCGATCCCTATTTCCTCACTCTTCCCTCGGAAAACCCTTAATGTATCCACCTGGTCCCAACTCCCATTTAGTGTTTCCTAAACTTCCCTGTAAATAAGAATTAGGCGGCCAGGTGCAGTGGCTCATGCCTGTAATCCCAGCACTTTGGGAGGCTGAGGTAGGTGGATCACCTGAGGTAAGGAGTTCGAGACAAGCCTGGCCATCATGGTAAACACCACCTCTACTAAAAACACAAGAATTAGCCAGGAATGGTGACAGGCACCTGTAATCCCAGGTACTCGGAAGGCTGAGGCAGGAAAATCCCTTGAACCCGGGAGGAAGGGGCTGCAGTGAGCCGAGATCGTGCCATTGTACTCCAGCCTGGGTGACACGAACGAAACTCCATCTCAAAAAAAAAAAAAAAAGAATCAGGCTGGGTGCAGTGGCTAACACCTATAATCCCAACACTTCTGGAGGCCAAGGCAGGAGAATTGCTTGAACCTAGCAGTTCAAGACCAGCCTGGGTAACATGGTAAAACCCAACCTCCACAAAAAATACAAAAATTAGCCAGGCATGGTGGCATGTGCCTATAGTCCCAGCTACTCAGGAAGTTAAGGTGGGAGGATGGATTAAGCCTAGGAGGTCCAGGTTGTTGTGAGCCATGATTGCTCCACTGCACTCTAGCATGGGCAATGAGAGTGAGACCCTGAATCATGGAATGGAAGGAAGTAATGGGAGCTATTATTTAATGGCTGTAGTTTCAATTTTAGAAGATGAAACGTTCTAGAGATGGATGGTGGTGAGGTTGCATAGCATTATGAATGTACTTAACACTGAACCGTACACTTAAAATGGTTAAGATGGTAAATTTTATGTTACGTGTATTTTACAATTAAAAAGTTGAACAAATATCATGGAGTGTGGAGGGGATATTAAAATCACAGATTCGCCAGACACGGTGGCTCACGCCTATAATGTCAGCACTTCGGAAGGCCGAGGCAGGAGGATCACCTGAGGTCAGGAGATCAAAATCAGCCTGGCCAACATGGTGAAACCCCATCTCTATTAAAAGTACCAAAAAAATTACCTGGGCATAGTGTCAGGCACCTGTAATCTCAACTACTCAGGAGGCTGAGGCAAGAGAATTGCTTGAACCCAGGAGACAGAGATTGCAGTGAACCCAGATTGCGCCACTGCACTCCATTCTGGGCGACAGAGTGAGACTCTCAAAAAAAAAAAATAATCAGATTCCTATCACGTCCCCTCCCTATAGAGCCCTATGAAATCCTGATTTCCAGGGGACACATGCACTATTCTTTATCCCTTAAGTAAGTTAGCATCAGGGGAGTCTGGGAAACATTGGTCACTTGCCCTCAGCACTCTTTACTTGGGCTACTTGTTTTAAATATCGTCATCTGTGTGGGTTTCGGCATCTGCTACCCCACTGTTAGACTCAAGGTATCTGAATTTTTCTCCCCCTGTTCCATATCTGCCTTCCTTAGTCTTCCCTCCAGTGCAGAAGTGACCTGGGGTAGTGAGACAACACAGATGTCTGAATGACAGCCCTCAATAAACATGCTGGTGACTCAGGCCCCATCCATGAAAGGATATTCTCTCCAAGAATGTCCATGGTTTTACCAAGACAAGCCTAGCAGATGGCAGCAGGCTGCCAAAGCACCTGCCCCTCTTTGCCCCACCCCTAACTGGCAGGGTTGCTTGCTCACCTAGCAGCGGCAGGAATGGCACAGTCCTTAAGATCCGTACCATCTCCTTGACCTTGGGCTCTTCACTGACCAGCAGCATGTTGTGCCCCACAAAAAGGGGCAGCAGATTTTGGTACTTAGAATCCTCCAGGAAAGGCCTCAGGACCTGGGACAGCATAAAATAATGGTTTATCAGGAACAAATGGGAGGAAGAGCCACCACGTGGGTCATGGGCCACATTAGGCTGAGGATACAACCCAAGGGTGGCTCACAGAGTAGGGGCGTAAGAAGTATCATCACTGGGGAACAGACGGTGAGGTCTGAGTCTGGTGGGGATTCGGGGAACATGGGCAACCCATGCCAAGGGGCCCACTCCCTACCTGGTTGGGGTAGACCTTCACTAGGATCTTGTGTTTCCGCAGCCGGTGTCGCATAAGAAGCTTGTCCTCTGCGCTCAGAGCCACATTCTGACAGACAGCTATCATTCGGTTGTCCTGGAAAACTGCTGCTATCTCCCGGCGGAGAAGCCTGATGAGGCCTGTCTCCTGAAATTAGAAAGCGATGTCCAAGGGTATATCAGCTGTCACTTCTCCTGGCACCTTGCTCCCTCTGTGGTAGGTTCTAGGGCTGCCAGTGATCCCCAAATGTGCAAAAGATCAGGGAACAAGTAGGATAATTGGATCCCCGACTCTCAGAGACATGTAACATCTCCCACTCCTCTAGCCTTTCACTTTCATTAGATATTCGCAGTCTTTAGCAGTGTTTTCCAAACCTGAGAATGCTCAGTTCCACTCCCCCGAAAACAGGTCTGCAGTCTGCCCCAGTCAACAGTGCTTGACAATAATATTGTCAAAATTACTTCGATTATCAATCTGACACTATACTCACGTTGAATTATTTTACCAATCATAAATATGACTGTTGTGCAGTGTTAGCTTAAAATTGAGACATTTGGCTGGGCACAGTGGCTCATGCCTGTAATCTCAGCACTTTGGGAGGCCAAGGTGGGTGGACTGCTTGAGGCCAGGAGTTCGAGACCAGCCTGGCCAACATAGTGAAACCCTGTCTCTACTAAAAATACAAAAAATTAGCTGGGCATGGTAGCACGTGTCTGTAATCCCAGTTACTCAGGAGCCTAAGGCAGGAGAATTGCTTAAACCCAGGAGGCAGAGGTTGCGGTGAGCCAAGAACGTGTCACTGCATACCAGCTTGGGTGACAGAATGAGACACTGTCTCACAAAAAAAATAAAAAATAAAATAAAGATAGGAGAGATACTCTCCCAACCGCACCTGTTAGGGTAGCTCTCACATCCACAGTTTTGAAGACAAGAAGAAAATTCAAAAGGCCTGTCCAATCCAGAGCCCAAAAGCCAATATAGAATCAAGGGCAGATTTCATCTTAAAGTATCTGGATCAGGCAAAGTGAAATAATGATGTGAGTGACAATGACTGAGAGTCATACCTCACTATGGCCAGAGACAAGATTACTTTCATCGACCATCCCACCATCAAGTGACATGTACCCAAACTCCTCCTTACTTCCTGTGGGGGGCTGGGAGGAGATGGCAGGCATGTTGGGTTAACGGCTGGTTTCGGGGGGATATATTCAGTCACAGCCATCAGCTTCAGTCGCTGAAAGTGCATCACACGACGGTGGCGGGTAACAGCCTTGGAGCCATAGCGGACAGTCTGGAGGGTAGGCAGCAGACCTGGGAGGGTATATAGCAGCATCCTTAGATGCAACCTCTTGGAGGCCCTAGTTTATCCTAGATAGAGAAAAAACACCCCCTAGCAAAGAAAACCACAGCTCATAGAGCTAGACTCAGCACAACAGTGGGATAAAGAATTATCTGCCAAAAATTCTAAATTTCCAAAGCTTCTCTTCTCTCAGTAAGTGACCTGAGGTCAATTACTTAATACCTTGAGGCTCCCATTTCTCCAGCTCTTCTTTTTTTTCTCACCAGGCTGGAGTGCAGTGGCGCGATCTCAGCTCACTGTAACCTCTGCCTCCTGGGTTCAAGCGATTCTTCTGTCTCAGCCTCCCAAGTAGCTGGGATTATAGGCACGTGCCACCATGACCAGCTAATTTTTTGTATTTTTAGTAGAGACGGGGTTTCTCCATGTTGAGCAGGCTGGTCTCGAACCCTAGACCTCAAGTGATCTGCCCATCTCGGCCTCCCAAAGCGCTGGGATTACAGGTGTGAGCCACTGCATCCAGCCTCCAGCTCTTCTTAATGTGCAGAAATGCAAGAAAAAAATGAGAACCAAGGAGAAAATATTTTGAACACATTAAGAGAAGAGGTGACCAGGGGCAGTGGCGGACATCTGTAATCCCAAGACTTTGGGAGGCCGAGGCGGGTGGGATCACTTGAGGTCAGGAGTTTGAGACCAGCCTGGCCAACGTGGTGAAACCCCATCTCTACTAAAGATACAAAAATTAGCCGGGCATGATGGCATGTGTCTGTAATCCAAGCTACTCGGGAGGCTGAGGCAGGAGAATCGCTTGAACCTGGAAGCCGGAGGTTGCAGTGAGCAAAAATCACACCATTGCACTCCAGCCTGGACAACAGAGTAAGACTCCATCTCAAAAAAAAAAAAAAAAAAAATGAAGGGGAGGAGGACAGGATTGAATACACGTTTTCTTAAAATGGTCAAATAATAAATATTTTAAGTTTGGGGCCCATGTAATCCTTCTCTAATACCCAACTCTGCCAAAAGCAGCCACAGACAGTATGTAAACAGAGAGCAGAAGCTGTGTACCAATAAAACTTTATAAAACACAGTGACTGGCCCTGCCATAATATGCCAACCCCTGGTCTAATCTAGTGGCTCTCAAGATATGCCCCACCTCCAACCCAACCAGCAACATCAGCATCATTTGAGAACTGGTTATAAGTAGAAATTTTGCTGGGTGTGGTGGCTCACACCTGTAATCCCAGCACTTTGCAAGGCTGAGGTGGGCAGCTCACTTGAGGTCAGGAATTCAAGACCAATTTGGCCAACATGGCAAAACCCCATCTCTACTAGAGTACAAAAATTAGCCAGGCATGGTGGTGCATACCTGTAATCCCAACTACTTGTGTGGCTGAGCCATGAGAATCGCTAGAACCCAAGAGGCAGAGGTTGCAGTGAGCCGAGATTGTGCCACTGTACTCTAGCCTGGGTGACAGAGGAACACTCTCAAAAAAAGAAAAAAATAAATATAAATTCTCAGGCCCTGACTAGACCTACTGAATCAGCAACTCTGGGGTGGAGCCTAACTCTAGGGTGGAGCTTAAAAAATAGTGTGCTCTTTGTTTGTTTTGTTTTGTAGAGACCAGATTTCACTATTACCACGGCTGGTCACAAATGGTATCTTAACAAGCCCTCCTGGTGATGCTGACGCATGTTAAAGTTTGAAAACCGCTGCTCTAACCACTGCTGTGACATCCTCTCCTATGATTTGAAGAGAAGAAAAAAAGTTACACCATCCTCACAGCTCAGACAAGTTTCTCTTTCCTCCTCTCTTCCTGTTTACAGGCAATGCTACACAGCATCCCACAGTAAACGAGACACTTAAAAGCCCAGAGCCAAAGTGACCTCTTCATCCTCAACACAAGGCCAAGACTAGAACCTCCCACTTTCAGCCATTCCCAAGGCTGAGTGAGATGTGACCTCAGAAAAAGGTCCAGATAGAAGGCAGCTCTAGCAATCAGAGAGTATGGATATTTGCTGAAGTAAGAGGTCTTATTGCCAGCAGCTACAAAACCTAACTGTTAAGACTGTAGGCAGGCTTTGAAATCATATGAAGCTGGATTTTTTTTTTTTTTTTTTTTTGAGACAGAGTCTCACTCTGTCACCCAGTTTGGAATGCAGTGGTGCGATCTCGGCTCACTGCAACCTCTGTCTCCCAGTTGTAAGCGATTCTCATGTCTCAGCCTCTCGAGTAGCTGGGACTACAGGTGTGTGCCACCACACTCGGCTCATTTTTGTATTTTGAGTAGAGTTGGGGTTTCGCCATGTTGGCCAGGCTGGTCTCAAACTCCTGACCTCAGGTGATCCGCCCGCCTCAGCCACTGCGTGAGCCACTGCGCCCAGCCGAAACTGGATTATCTCTCTTCCACCACTTAATAGCTGTGACCTTGGCCCAGCCGAAACTGGATTGTCTCTCTTCCACCACTTAATAGCTGTGACCTTGGCCACCCAGCTGGTCTGAACTCCAGTTGCTACGTCTGTAAAGAGGAGACGGGAATGCCTTTCTCACAGGGTGCTTTAGATTTAAATGATTTAAAAGATTTAAATGAGCGAACACATATAAAAACAGTTATCACAGTGCCTGGCCTATATTAAGTGTTCAAATCTATTCATTAAACAAGTATTTGTTGCACACCTACTAACATCAAGCACCTCCATCTTAATGTCTCAGCCTAAATGTCACCTGCTGGCTATGCTGAATGAACACGGTTCTGCCCTTACAGAGTTTAATAGAGGAAACAACCAACTAAACGAATGCAAAATTAGATTGCGACGCGGCTAAGTAGTCAAGGGGACTTGAGAAGGTGACATTTAGGCTGAGACATTAAGATGGAGGCATAATGCAAAGGTCTGGGCGAGGAGTGGTCCAAGCAAAAGAAACGCTGGAGACTGGCAACAGCTGGACGTTGTTGCTGCCATTACCAGAGTCTGGAGCACAAGGAACTGGACGGGGTAAGGAGGCCAGAGATCTAGCTGGGGTCACAGATTACGGGAAGAATCAGTAGTAGAGCAGGACAGATGAGGACTAGAGAGCGCCGGCAAGACACGCCGTGAGGACCTGAGTCACTCCTTACCCGCCTGGGGCAGGAGACCCCCTCGCAGCATCCCCGCCACGGCCGCAGCCAAATCCACCGGAAGAATGGACGGAAGCGGAGCGGAGACGGAAAGAGCTAAGGATTGTGGGGTAGCGAACCGTGGGGCCGGAAGCAGTGGGCTTACCCGCCTGCTACGTTTGTAGCACGCATGCGCCGAGCCCGGCCAACGATGCCTGCGTTTACCACCCCACTCGGCCTCCAGTATCCTAGCAACGACTCAGGCTTCCTAGGAAATGCTCCTTTCTCAACCATTCCTGCCCACAACACCCCAACTTGCTACCAGCAAAGCCCCTCCACACCCCTCAAACTCCAGACCCTTCACATCAATTTACTGTTGTCTTCGACCTCACCCCAGGAATTTTCTCTGAATCAACCCCTTTTCCTCGTCTCCCAAGTCTCTGAATTTCTTTCTCCTCCTGCCTTCCTGGGTTCCGCCATCCTTAGGGACCGCCCAGGCTGCTAGGCTCCTTTTCATTCTTCTCCCGCCTCAGACCAGCAGCCTTTTATTTTAGTTCATGGCTGGAGGTGAGTATGGAGGTAAAACGGTAGGTAGAGCAGTTGGAAAACTGGGGTAAAGCCTCCAAGAATGAGGAAATGTGACTGTTGGACTCATCTTTTCACAGCTAAGTCTGCTCAGAGTCCAGAGAAAGGGGTCGTCTGCATCACTGAAGCCCTTATCACTAAGCGGAACTTGACTTTCCCTGAGGATGAGGAACTGTCAGAGAAGATGTGAGTGCATGGGGGAGGAAAGAGGTGCTAGAAGGCTGAAACACTCAGGATAACCAGGTCCCTGAGCTGTATTTATTTGTCAACTGATCTTTGTCTCTCACCTTACTTACTCCACACATCCAATCGGTGGTAATGTCCAGTTGATTTTCCCTCCTTAAAAATAATTCCATTTCTGTCCAGGCATGGTGGCTCACACCTGTAATCCCAGCACTTTGGGAGGCCGAGGTGGGTGGATCACTTGAGGTCAAGAGTTTGAGACCAGCCTGGACAATAGAGTGAGAATCCTGTCTCTAAAAATAAAAGTAAATTAGCTGAGCATGATGGTGCACACCTGTAGTCCTAGCTACTTGGGAGGCTGAGGCAGGAGGATCACTTGAGCCCAGGTATCTGTGGCTGCAGTAAGCTATGATCATGCCATTGCATGCCAGCCTGGGCAACAGGGTGAGACCCTATTTCTAAAACAAACAAACAAAAAATAAAGTATTTTTAATTACTGTTTTAGAGACAGGGTCTTGCTCTGTTGGCCAGACCAGTCTTGACTCCTCAAACAATCCTCCTACTTCAGCCTTCTGAGTAGCCAGTGATCCTTTTAAATAACAAATCTAATCAGGCACTCACTGATAGAAACTTCCTTGGCTATTATCTCCCAAATAAAATCCCAATGCCTAAGCATGAGTTGACTTCTGCTAGCTTTTCAGCCTTATTTCTGGCCACTCTCCGAAAGTGTACAACTTCCCACAGTGTGTTATCACAAGTAGTACCTTACTACTCAGAGTATGTGTGGAGGGGGTGCAGGGGTAGGGCAGCATCATTGACATCACGGTGGGGCTTGTTAGAAGTCTCAGCCTCTCCCCCGATCTACTGAATTAGAATCTGCATGGGCATATTAGAGTTCTGCTTGAAATGCCTTCTCCCCATATCCCCCTATCTTCATGGCTAATGCCTACTCATCTGTCACCTCCTCTAGGAAGTATTCCCTGATTTCTTCTACTCTGAACTTAGTGCACAAGCTATGTTCTCCCTTTGTCCCCTGTACTTGCCTCTATTATCCATTTGTCATAGATGTTTGGCCTGCTGCTTCTTTCTTTTTTTTTTGAGATGGAGTCTTACCCTGTCACGCAGGCTGGAGTGCAGTGGTGGGATCTCGGCTCACTGCAACGTCTGCCTCCTAGGTTGAAGCGATTCTCCTGCCTCAGCCTCCCATGTAGCTGGGACTACAGGTGTGCCACCATGCCAGGCTAATTTTTTTTGTATTTTTAGTAGAGAGGGGTTTCACCATGTTAGCCAGGCTGATCTCAAACTCCTGACCTCAGGCAGTCTGCCTGCCTTGGCCTCCCAAAGTGCTGGGATTACAGGCGTGAGCCACCATGCCCAGCCTTTTTTTTTTTTTTTTAATGACATAGGGTCTTGCTCTGTCACCCAGGCTGAAGTACAGTGGCATAATCATGGCACACTGCAGCCTCGACCTCCTGGGCTCAGGTGATCCGCTTGCCTTGGCCTTTCAAAGTGCTGGGATTACAGGGTGAGCCACCATAGCCAGCCTTCCCTGCTTCTCTAATAGTAGGCAGGCACTATCATTTTTCGCTAGTAGGCACTCAGCCAAGGTTGTGGAATGAATGAATGGGTGGATGAACAAGTGCTTTTTCCTCCATGAACCACTGAAAATGAAGGTGAGGAAGGATCTTTCTACAGAGTGTCTCATCTCTGTCCCACCCCTGCCTCCACCATCCAAGCTGGCCAGAGGAAGGCTTCTCTTGCCTCCAAATCTCTCCAAGAACTATAAGCTGCTATCCCCCAACTTCCCAGTGGGCCCTTGGTCCTCTCTCTCACCCTCCCCAGCGCTAACGATAGAGATCCAAGCCTGCAAGTCAAGCCAGTTTCATGATCTAGACACCACCTCAAGATGTCAAGATGTATCTCACATCTGATCAGAATCACTTGGCCAATTACCCCTCCTTGAAACCCCTTCCCTCCTCCTTCTCTACCATTCTCCCTGCTAAGAGACCACATGAGTGGTTCTGTAACACCACCCTTACTGACTCTTCTCCCAGGTTTCACACTCTTGCTGAACTGCAGACTGTCCGCCTGGACCGGGAGGGGATTACTACTATCAGGAACTTAGAGGGCCTCCAGAATCTTCACAGCCTCTATCTGCAAGGGGTAACTTCTTTCCCCACCCCATCCCATCCCTACCCTTCCCCTCCCCTTGACCCCTGTGGGCCTAATCTATCTCATCTGAAAGGAGCCAACCAGGTCATCTTGCCCATTCCCTGGTGTTCAGGCAGGCAGACCTTCATTTAAACCATTCCCAGATGAATGAATTCTCCTGAATTGAAAGACTAATTCCCCCAAAATAGATCCTGAACATGCTCTTGAATCCCTGCTCTTTAGACACTTCTCTTGGTCTAGAAGTTCTTCTTGGCATCTACTCTGAATCTTTCATGTTAAATAGCTCCAGCCCATGTCCTGCTTTGAAGAAGAGGAAGAGGAAACTATGAAGATTCCTCTACATCCTTCGGATCCTACTTGAAGGCTGTTTGGTGGTGGTGTTGGTTGGCTGATCTTCAGCCTTCCCCTGGTTGAATATTCCCAGCTCCCTTCAACTTTCCCCATAGGAACTTTACCCATCAAGTTAATGTAGGTACACTCATTGTTCTCTCTGTGTATGAAAGCCACCACCAAGGCCCTTACCATTTCCCTGGTGGCTTCTTGGTTTCCTTTTCTGATTCCCAGGTCACTCTTTGGTTGTGGAATCAGAAGAGTATACTTAATCAGGCTTAGATACCCCAGGTTTAGGCTGGGTGTGGTGGCTCATGCCTATAATCCCAGCACTTTGGGAGGCTGAGTTGGGTGGATCACCTGAGTTCAGGCTGGCCAACATGGCGAAACCCTGTCTCTCCAAAAAAAACAAAACAAAACAAAACAAAAGATACCCCAGGTTTACTCCCTTAACCATCCCCCTGGAGAAAGAAAATCATCTTTCTTAAGGTGGTGGCAACCTGTTCAAGGAGTGGGATGATCATTCCCAAAGTGCTAGATCTCCAGCTGCAGCAGACATGGTCTTAGGGCTTTGTTCCTGTAAAGGGCCCCCCACCCATCTGATCTCAGCTTGGTTTCCCCACCTCGATTTCTTCTTGCAGAATAAGATCCAGCAAATTGAGAACCTGGCTTGCATCCCCTCCTTGCGGTATGTGATGCCAGGGTTCAGGCAGGGGAAGAAGGGTTGGGGGAGCCCAGCCACACCCCAAAGAACTGGTTCAGATTTCTCCAAGCCTGGGTCCTTGTCAGCCAAGGGCCAGCAAGCCTAGCTCTACTCCCTCACCCCAGAAGGCCATGTGTCCCCACTGGTGTCAGGTGCCCTCCGCTTCTCCTCCAGCTGTTCCATGATTCAGCTCTGCCTCTCTACCCCTTCCTTCCCCTACAGCTTCCTGTCTCTGGCAGGAAACCAAATCAGGCAGGTGGAAAACCTCCTGGACCTCCCGTGCCTCCAGTTTCTGGACCTTTCTCAAAACCTGATAGAAATGTTGAAGCTGGGTAGGAACCCACTTGCCCTGGGCCCTGGCTCACCAAACACATCCCATGTGGGGCCTGCCCTTCCCTCTGTGCCCATTTCCCTGTGCTTGTATTAGTCACACTCCTGCAGGTCCATACTTCATCCTTGGGGGGCTCAGGGGGCAGGGAGTGGCTTTGGAATAGAAAGTGGGTATGAGAAGCCCATTCCCATTACTTACTGGGCTTTTGGCTAAGATCAAATGTGAACCCTATTCCCTCTTTCTTTGCTGTGTACAGATGAGTTCCCCCAGAGCCTTCTTATCCTCAACCTGTCTGGAAACAGCTGCACCAACCAGGATGGCTACCGGTGAGGAGTGGAGGGTGGGAAGAAAGGTCATGCCTAACTCAACCCAGGCCCCTCACAGCCTGCAAACCTGGGGTCACTGTCTGTGGCACCTTCTCCCCCACCTCCTACCTAGCTCATGAGCCACCACCCCCCAAGTGTGGGTGCTATGGTGCGTGTCTTTGCATCTTCCATGCCAGGGTGCCCTCCTGGGTAACCTCTGCTCTGTCTGCTCTGCAGTGAGCTGGTGACAGAAGCCCTGCCACTTCTCCTGGACCTGGATGGGCAGCCTGTGTTGGAGCGCTGGATCTCAGATGAGGAGGATGAAGCCTCGAACGATGATGAGTTCCCAGAGCTGAGTGGCCCATTCTGCTCAGAGCGAGGTAACCCTGCTTCCCAAGGCTTTCAGCCTCCCCCAGAGCCCACCTCTGCCCTGTGGGACATGAGGGAAGCTAAGGGCAGTGATGTCTGGGGAGGGGAGCCCCAGGTTCAGATCAATATCTGGGCCAGAGCCAGGTGGCAGTCATGGGTCCCAGGCTCAGGCTCCTTCCCACAAGGGATGGCAGGGAGCCAGCCAGAGACCTCCCTGAGCCCAGGGACCCTCCTGCTGAGCCCAGGGCTCCACCCACCTTGCACCTTCCATCTCCTGGCCCTGCACAGGCTTCCTTAAGGAGCTGGAGCAGGAGCTGAGCAGGCACAGGGAGCGCCGGCAGCAGGCAGCCCTGACAGAGCACCTGCTGAGGATGGAGACACAGCCTGCCCTCACCGACCTGCCCCTGCTGCCTGGGGTGCCCATGGCTGGGGACAGCAGCCCTTCTGTCACTCCTGGGGAAGGGAAGGAGACACTCCCCGAGGCCGTCTCCTCACCCCAGGCCTCCTCTCCCACCATGAAACCATGCACTGTGGTTCCCAGGGGCCAGCAAATCTCTCTCTGGGGAAGGAAGGGGGCGCGAGCAGCCACAGCCCCCAAGGCCTCTGTGGCTGGGGCCCCCAGCACAACCAAAGCTACGCCCAAAAGAAGCCAGAAGTGATACTCTGTGAACCTTTCTCTATGAGTGGAGTGGGGCCTGCCTCCCTTCTCAGACCCCTCACCTGCCCATTCCCAGTAAAGTGTCTCTAGGCCTTGAATATACTTTTTGTGTCACTTGGGGGTATCTTGGGGAAGCAACCGGTGAAAGCACCAGGAAACAAAACACAGAGCCCAGTGAGCCACCTTATTCTAAAGAGTGAGTCTGGAATCTTACAGGAGCTACCCACAGGGCAGGCATGACTCAGGCCCCCCCATGCCTTCCTGGCTCCTGTATGGGCAAGAAGTGGGCACTGCCTCATGGAGGATGCTGCCTCACCGCCACCCCTAGGGGGGGCCCTTCCCCGGTCCGAGCCCAGGACCAAGGAGCTGTGGTGCTAATCCTCCCCAGCAGCAGCCAGCTCCTGTCCCTTCCCTGTCCTCCTGCCTAGTCCCCATCACTGAACCATTCATAAGAATAAGGACACAACCACAGGCCCTGCAGCCTGCCCAGGGCTGCCTTTGGGCCTCATTTGGTTCTCCCACCCCCACTGGACCTGGAATAAAGTTCACTGAACAGAAAATAAAGCACATTTATTAAGGCAAAGGCCAAGTTGGCTGCTCAGAACATGGCCAAGGGGTGTGAAGGGATTGCTCCAACTTCAGCACCACCAGCTCAGGGCAGTTGGCTGCAGGGGTCCAGGCCCACCCCAGGCCAGCAGAAGCTGTGAAGCTTACACGTAAGCCTGGCTCTCCCTCTTCACGAAGGCCTGGAAGAGGCTGCCCAGTTCCTGGAAGGGTGGGGCCCACTCGCTGGCCAGCAGCCCCCGTACAGCCTTGAGGCCTTCCTGCTCCAGATCCCACTGTTTCTGCCGGAGCTGCTGCTCCCGATCCTGCCCCAAGGGAAAGTTGAGATGAGTCTGTCCAGGACAGGCTTCCCACCAGAAGAACAGAGTACCACCTCACACAGGCAGGGAACAGAGTACCACCTCACACAGGCAGGAGAAAGGAGAGACCTCCCCAATATTCCCCTGGGCAGCTGCCGGCTTTGAAGGGAGGAGCTCCTCTCCCCAGCTCCGGAATCTCCTCCATGCCCAGGTTCCCTCATTTTTCCAGAGTCTGTTACCCCATCAAGGTAGCCCCATTCCCTGGGGGATACCTGATCACTCTCCATCAGCCCCAGGGCTGCCTGGTGTCCACGGTAGAGGATGTGCCGGCGATCTACCTGAGTCTGGAATCGGGGCAGGGTCCGAACAGGGTCCTGTGCTCCAAAAGTGGGGGACAGCACCTGGGGGGCCTGGGCCACCCCCACCCCGAAGATAAAAGGTTTGAACACAGACCTAGAGGGGCACAGAGGTGACAGGATGGAGATATATCAGATCCTCTCTTCTTATTGACCTTCCCCACTCTCATTCTTCCCACCTGGATGGGTCTGGCGTGGCAGTGAGAAAGTGCACGCAGGGCTGCGTGGGATCCTGGGGCAGGACGGACACCATGCTGGCGGTGGTGCGAAAGCCACCCGAGTCCATACAGATGCCACTCTCCTTGTCCCTGAGGATGCCCATCATCACCTCTGCTGTGATGCCCCCTGCCAAGGAGTAGAGGGGGAAGCTATGGGAGGCGAGAGTGGCTGGCACTGCTGTGGCCCTCCTAGCCCTCAGCCCCTCTACCACTCACTGACCTTGCTGTTGCCGCAGCAGCTCCCGTCCTGCCAAGAAGCGGGCCTTGGCAGCCTCCATGCGCACAGGCTGCTGGGTCAGGGAGAAGACCTGAGCAAAGTCAAAGGTGCCCTGCCCATCCCACCAGCCCTGGGCCTGGGCATGGGTCTGAAGCTCCGGGTGTTGGGCCGAGATATCTGTGCCAATGCTCAGCTGGTTGGAGATGTTTCGGGCCCCCTCTGTGGAGGAGATAGGGGAGCCTATAAGGCGGCTCATTTACCACTATTACATACCTGGCATCTATTCTAAGCCAGGCACTGGGTGAGGTGCTGAGAGCATGGTGAAGAGAACGACCTACCCTCGTGGAGCCTACAGTGTAGTGGGGGAGGCAAAACAATCAGAGAGAAATGTAAGCTGGCAACTGTGTTGAATGCGAGGCAGAAGTACCTGCTTGCATATAAACAGGAAACCTGACCACCCAGGGAAGTGCAGGAAGGCTTCCCAGAGGAAGCAGCAGGCTACAGCACAAGGAAGACTTTCAACTGAAGGGGAGCAGCGTTCCCAGGTGGACTCATCTCCCATCTCCCTGAATGTCCCGACAGGCTTGTAACTGGATCAAGCACCTCCCTACTGCTACCATCTCTCCCATTTCCCAAGGCTGGCAGAAAGGGAACGCCTCACCCTGGATCCTCTGTGCAGCCCAGAGCCTCCCAGCTGTCTCCAGCACCCACGCCTCAGTGCGGTCAGCCAGCAGGAAGGTGTTATGGTAGCAGAAAGGTGCAGGGTCCTCCAGGCAGCTGCCCCCCTGCCCATAGCGCTCCAGTAAGCCTGTGATCACATGCAAGGCCTCCTGGGCAGAGGTGCTCCGTTCCAAAGCCAGCCTGGCAAGAGAGAGAGCCAAGGGACAGAAGGGTGCCAGAGGGATCAATGGCTGGTGGCAGAAGCTCCAGGAAACAGAAGAGACACAGAGAGGTTTGGTAATAGGGTCAAGTCACACAGCAAATCTGCTGGCACTGATCGTATCAAACACAATTATGCCAGTGGCTTTCAATACTCTGTGGTTCCTTGTGCTATGCTCTCAGGGTTCCATGAAAAGGCTTAAAACACAGTTTCAGAGAGAGAACTGTGCTGAACTCCCGACCTCTCTCCGCCCAGAGCTGCTCCACTATTACTGGTTTTATAAATTGGGACTGTACATGAGATTTCAACTGAAAACAAATAAATAAACCACTGCTCTTTTTCTGGGCCAGGAGACATCCAAAGGTGACTGCTGCTGCAGCTTCCCTCACGAGGGCATGAGGGCAAAGTCTGCAGAGAGGAGAAGGCCCCTGTGAACCAGGCTGGGGGGAGGGGAGGATGGGCCCAGATCAAAACTCGGCCCCCAGATTTCTGGTGTGTCAGGGAGATGAGGAAGGGCAGGGTCTGCACCTGAGGAGGTCCATGCCCAGCAGGGCTTCCCCCTCCCTAAGTGGCTCCTTCGTCCACACAGCCTCGTTGCCAATGCAGACACCATGCTCGTTGGCGCCCATCTCAGCCCCCCACAGCCAAGAAGGGCGGCTCAGAATCACAGCGTGCGTCTTCGACACCTGTTCCACCTCAATGTAGGTGCACTGGAGGTGAGGGAGGAAAAAGGAAGCATCCATTCAGAAAGGGGCGGCACCTGACGCGTGCTGGCACTCTGCCAATACACCTTATATATCCCTTTGAGGAAGGTCTCATTCCCATTTTATAGAAGAGGAAACTGAGGTAGACTGAGGCTACATAATGGGCTCAGGTCCAGGTTAGTATACCTGAAGCTCATGCTCTTCCCACTACTTCTGGCAGCCTCCCAGGTGTGGCGATCAGGGAAGAAAGTCTTAGAAGAATGCCGAGATCTGCCACACCTTCCAGCACCCCATAAGGCCTAACCCACCTGGAGCCGGCTCCCAGGAGTGTGAGTGCCTGCGGGGACAAACACCACCTCCTGCACCTCGTCCCTGGGTCGGTCTGAATTCTTGGCAAAGATTACAGCCGGGATGGCTGAGGCCGGGGGCACCGAGACAAAGCAGTCGCAGGAACATGGGGCGTCAGGGCTCGACGATGCCATCTGGGGAGAGGTGGGGTTGAGTGCGGGCCTCTTCATAACCCTGGCCACGACTCCGCCCGGGGGAGCCTCCTCCCCCTGCACGTGCAAACGACGCGCAGGGAAGACACCGCCGTGGCTCCCGGACGCTCGGCGCACACACCATGCACGGGTGTGCAGGAACGGAGGTGACCACTCTCCCCAGGCTCCAGGCTTGGGAGTCAGCAGGCGGGCGCTCCGAGGGGCCCGCCCCCACTGGGAGTCCCAGCCCTTCGGAGCAGTGGTGGGACAGTCTCCCTCGCTACCCCACCGAGAGTCCCGCGGCCCTGCGCATGTCCAGACACCCGACCCTCTTCCGTCCAACCCTTCTCTCACCCCCAATACTGTATTGCCCTTACCCTCTCTCCCTCCAAGAACCCAGCTCGGTCCCGAGCTCACCTCCTCCGCTTCTGCCGGGGCCGTCCCATTGGGCGGAGTCTCTCACGTGACCTGGAAGGCCTTAGGCCTCGGGGTCGGAGCCGGAACGAAGCCTGCAGCTCCGCCGTTTTCCACCAGGGCGCGCGCCTGCACCACTTCCCGCTCCCTGCCATACCCGGGCGCCCATTTCAGGCCTGATAAAGGCTGCTCACCCCATGAAGCGGGGGGGGGGGGGGGGGGGGGAGGGAGCCCGCGTGAAAAGGGAGACTTTGTTAGAGAGAGGGGACTTTTGGGGAATCTGGAGATTAAGGAAGAACCTCAGATACTTGAGTACTGGTTTGAATCTCAGAGGCGCAATCCCAGGCCTTACTCACTTATTAACACAAGGGAGTAAGATAGAGAATTAGAGAGTGGTGGAGGCTGGGTGCGGTGGCTCGCCCCTGTAACCCCAGCACTCTGGGAAGCCGTGGTGGGTGGATCGCTGGTACCCAGGTGTTCAAGACCAGCCTGGGTAACATACCAAGACCTCGCTTCTAGAGAAAATATTTTAAAATTAGCCGGGCGTAGGCTGGGTGCGATGGTTCGCACCTGCAATCTCAATACTTTGGGAGGCCGAGGCGGGCGGATCACGAGGTCAGGAGTTCGAGACTAGTCTGGCCAACATGGTGAAACCCCGTCTCTACTAAAAATACAAAAATTAGCCGGGTGTGGTGACAGGCACCTGTAATCCCAGCTACTCAGGAGGCTGAGGCAGGAGAATCACTTGAAACCAGAAGGCGGAGGTTGTAGTAAGCCGAGTTAGTGCCACTGCATTCCACCCTGGGCGAAAAAGCGAGACTCCCTCTCAAAATAAATAAATAAATAAGCTGCGCATGATAATGGGTTCCTGAAATCCCAGCTATTCAGGAGGCTGAGTTGGAGGATCGCTTGAGCCAGAAAGGTGACCTGAGATCATGCCACTGCCCTCCAGCCTCGGTGACAGAGCAAGACCCTGTCTCTTAAAATAAATAAATAAGGAAATATGTGCACAAAACCCATCTATCTGTCCAATGGTGCTCAAACCCATGGAAAAATAGCTTTGAAAGGAAATTTAAAACTTTCTAGTTCAAAGCTTTGGTGCCTTTACCTGTGGTGAAACTGAAACCGCAAAGAAGCCTTGGCCAAAGCTGACACACGGTCCTGTGGAGTTATACTCTCTTCCCAAACGTTTTGATTTTCAGTTCATTTTCCTCTGCAAACCATCTCTCCATAACTATCATTAAGGCAAATGCATCTTACACCCTTTTGTTCTGTGGAGCCCTCCAGGAATGGAGGGAGGGGAGATGCTGCAAGGTTATCTACTTCCATGAGTTGCACTGAATCCATAGATGGCTTTGAGTAGTATGCACATTTTAGCAATATTAATTCTTCCCCGTCAGCACGAAATAGCTTTCCATGTCTTTGTGTCTTCTTCAGTTTCCTTCATCAATGTCTTATCATTCAGAGTACGGATCTTTCACTTCCTTGGTTAAATTTATTCCTGAATATTTTATTATTTTGGTAGCTATTGTAAATGGGACTGTTGATTTCTTTTTGTACAGCTCACTGTTAGTGTATAGAAACACTACTGACTTTTGTACATTGACCTTGTATCCCGTGACTTTACTGTATTTGCTTACCAATTCTAACACGGTTTTAGTGGAGTTTGGTTTTCTTTCAAGCCTGCTCTGCTAGGGTGCTGGCAGTCAGACACACTAGGATTAGTGAGAAGGTGGAGGCTGTCTGATACAATATCCCGGAGGGATTGTGAGGGTGCCATTTAATGTCATTCCAGAAGCAAACATCAAGGCTCTGTGCTGACAAACCTGGGCACCCGAGGCAGCTTGGAGGAAAGCAGGTTCACCTCCTGCAGTTCCGGGGTTGCTCACTGTGGGGCGGAAAGAAGCAGGAGGAGAGGCAGGGAGAGGCCACAGCGCACACCCAGGTGGCAGTTCCCAGGCTGTCTTCTCTGTCACTTTCTCATTTCTTATTTAATTCACCCATCCTAGAGGATGGGAGTAGATTCTACTTCCACTTCCCAGGAGAGTAACCGAGAGAGCCAGCCCAGATGTTCTGATTTCCCTAACTTCTTCCTGGGCCCTCCTCAATCCTTCTGCAGGCACCCTAACTGAGGAGGGGTCAGAGGTGGCCTTGGGCTCTGTGGGGAGGGGGAGGGCAGGCCAGCCAGACAGCATTTCCAGCAAGCAAGCAAGCGTCAGAGCCCCACCAAAGGCCCCTGCTAAGAATGCAGGTCAGCAGGAGGAGCTGCATGGGGAGGAGGGGCAGCCCCAGCCCTGCCCAGACAAGCCCAGCCGGCCCCACAGCTGCCCTCCTGTCCCTGGGGGCAGCGAAGGGGGTAAAGGAGGGTGGGACTCACCAAGTTCCTGGGGTCTAACTCCCCTGGAACCAGACAAAAGAGGCACCCGGAGGAGTGGGGCTGGCATGAGGTCTCAGGAAAACATACTCGTCCCTTCTTCTCCCAGGCTTCTAAATCCAGCAGCAGATGGAAACAAACTGGCCCCAAAGCAGTCTGACTTCCTCTATGACCCCTAAATCATTCATTCTGATGCTCCCATCCAAACCAGTCTGATTTCCTCTACGACCCTAAATCATTCATTCTGATGCTCCCATCCTAAGATGGCCATAAACACGTGATCCCAGAATCTCCCAAATTAAGTTATGGGATGGGCCAGCCTGAGTACCAGATTTGGGTTCGAAAAATTGGGTTAGGGTTAGAGTGGTGGATCTAGAAATCCCACTGGTGAAAATAATAATTTTGGCAAAAAGTAGAATGAGATGGTGAAAGAACAGTAACCCACCCTACCCCCCTGGAGCCTAAAACCTATCTTCTGTCAACCTTCTTAGCCTTGGGGCTCTCGAATCATGAGGGTTTTTTTTTTACCCATTTGATGTGAATTAGGCACCAACTTTTTATCAAGCACTGGGACTCCTGGGAAGATGTGTACAGGGGATATTTCTGCATATCTCCGGGGGCAGCCGCACGCAGGTCTGGCGTGGGTATGTTTGTGTGCCCTGTGGTTGTGTAACCATGGCGGGTCTCTAGCTGTGAGTTGCAGTAGGAGCCTTTCCCTCATACTTTCCAGCTGGGCGGGAGCCCATCAGATAGCTCGGCTGCCTTTCATCGCCTTGTCCCTGATAAGGATCATCCTGGGTGAAGAAATCACTGCCAGTCACCCCCAGCTCAGTCACAGCCAAGGGATGGACTGACGTGCACCCTCCATGGGGATGCAGTGAGGGAGCCAGTGTCTGGGAAAGGCGGGAACCAGTGTTCTGAGCAGGGGAAGGGAAAGAAGGGGCTTGTATGTGGAGGAGGAAAGTGATATCTAGAAACTTCAAACAACCACAGGTATGAGACCAGGGAGAGACAGCCCAGGGATCAATCCAGAGGGAGCACCTCCCTCCTTCTGTACCAGCCACCTCTGGGGCAGGATCAGACACCAGCTCCAACCCAACTCAATAGACGTGAGGCTTCCCAAGGGGCTGCAGGATCACTGGGAAGCATCCACGCCACTCTGTGGCCCAGACCTGGTTCTCACTGCTGAGGGACGCTGAGTCAAAAAGGAAACACAGCTGGAACACAAAGGAAGCGTGATGTAGTTGATGACTTTATTGCATAAAAAACACAGGCTGTTTTTCCCTCCTCCTACCCCCTCAAAGTGAGTTCACAGCAGTTAAAGAAAAAATAAATTCCTACATTTTTCCTCTAGGGGGGCTGCCTAGAAAGACAGGCAGCCAAGCAGCCTAGATCTATAAAAGAGGGGAGCAGAAGAAAACCTATCCAAAGCCTCCACCCCCATACCTCAGAGCCTGGGGCTTCCATTGGGGGGAGCATCTGTGTCCCCTACCACCACCAACACCCATTTAGGAGTTCCCCTTAGGATGGCCACTGGAAAAGGCTGTCTCAGTGGCACAGGGAGGGGGTGGCTGGTTTCGATGGGTGGAGGAGAAAGGCATCCCACACCCACAGTGCCCTTCATCTCTCCCCCTCTCCGCCTGGCCAGGAACTTGCAGGCAGTGCCAACTCTCCTCCTGCCCCTAATCCTCCCAGCAAGGAAGGGGATCTGTAGTTGGGTTAGCAGGAGGTAGGGAAAAGAGGAAAAAGGAAGAACATTACTTCTTAAACTACCCCAGGCCAATGAGTCTCTCAGGAAGGTCACCCTGTCCCTTTAAGGAGGACCCCTTTGTATACAAACACATATTCCCACCCAGATCCCAGCTCCCACTTCCCATATAGCTCCCAGACCTTGGACTGGGCTCCAGCATCTTCAAGGGAGGAAGGAGGTGCTGGGTCCAGATCCCAGGATCTTGGATGGGGTGAATAAGATGGGGTCTCCCTGGCTGGAGACCCCAGGCTCAGTAGAGAAACTCACACATGCACACAGGTACACACAGCATGCACACACATAACCTAATATTAAATAAAATACCCTTTGCTTATAACTTAAAAATCAATACACAGCTAATCTCCGCAGAGGCCTCTGGGTGAAGAAAGGGAGCAAGGGGGAGGGAGAGGGGTGTCAGAGGGACTCTAAGGCCCCTCTCCAACCTGGGAAAGCCTCTGGCTGCAGGGGCCTGTGGCCTGTCAGACCCTTCCTCATATCAGCTTCTTTCCCTTCTGCCTGGCTTAGCCTCTGCTGGACTTCTCCCCTCCCTCCCTCCGTTCCTTCCTTTCTCCCCAATCCCATGATCAGAATCAAAACGTATTTCTAGCATCTAAAGGAGAAGGAAATGGGGACAGCTTCCTGGATGTCACCTCAAAAGGCAGAACCCCTTCCAGTGGGAGAGCAACTTTCTTCTCCCTGCCCCTGTGAGATGAGCGGGGGAAGGGGGGGGGAATCCCCTAATGAACATGCTAGGGCAGGGGCAAGGGAAAGCCAGGGCCAAGCTAGAGAGACAGTGGGGCTTAGTTTCTTAGTGACGCCAAAGAGATGGTCAGACAGGCCGCAGGCCTCCACCCTGAGTGGGAACCAGTGGAGGTTCCTCTGCTGAGACACCCCCAGTCTGCCCCCAACCAGCCCAAGAAACCCTCTTCCTTCCGTCCTCGAGAAGAAGGCAACTAGTGGGAACCTAGGGTAAGGAACTACACGGATTCTAAGGCTAGCTGCCTTGAAAATACACCTAGGGTAAAAGATGGGGAACATGACTACTCAACTTTCTCATAAAGACCAAGAATTAAGGGCTGAATTAGAGTTGGAGAGGGAAGGGGTTAGTTTCTTCCATCCCCCTATCTCTTATTTTAGAAGGGGACTTCCCTACTCACCCCCCACATCTAACTCTGTTCTTTATCGCACAGCCCCCGCTGGGAAGGTGTCAGGAATGCCAGCCCTCTTCCCCTCTTCCTTCGTGGCTCCATTAGACTGAGTCTGGAAGGGTTAATAAGGAAGCTCATCAAGGAGTTATTTTTACAGGAACAACCTTCCAAATCAGAGAGACACCCCTGCCAAGGGAGACCCCCAGGCTCCCCCATTCTGTCTCGTCTCTCCCTCCGGAAACCCTAGGGGCAGAAGCACTTGTAAGTGGGATGAAAGGGACCTCGCCGCAGGGCGGCTCCGGAGGCGCTTTTATGTCCTGGTTCCCAGGCACTAAGGACGTGTCCAGACAGCCACCCCCAGCCCCCCGGGCTGGCCGCACTTCTCTACGCTCGGGGTGGGAACTGCGACTTGCTGTCTCCTCTAGCCTGTCCCCGCCAGCCGCAGTACGGGTGTCCCACGCCAAACCCCCAGCCCAGGGGCAAGGGAAACCGTGAGGCAGGGGAGACCTTAGCGGCATGCACAGCTCCTACCGGCCCAGTCAAATGCATCCTGCCTAGTAGCCCCAGAGACTAAAAACCCCTAGCGCCCCATCTCCCTGTCCCTGCACCACTTTTCCTCCCCACCGAATAAATACGCACCTTCCCCTCTTCCTCAAGCCACCCCCAAGGACCTCAGACCTGGCGGCTCGCATCCAGCTCCCCCCGGAGGCGGCACCGAGGAGCTCAGTTGGAGGGTGCGGCGCTGCCCTCGGCCTCGCGTTTGCCTTTGCCCCCGGGGGGCTCCACTGTGCCGCCGGCCTTGCCCTCTCCCGGGGCCGCCCCGGCAGCCTCCTCCTTGGCGCCCTCGTGGGTTTTCATGTGCTTGGCCAGGTGGTCGCTGCGCATGAAGACGCGGCTGCAGACTGCACAGGGGAACTTCTTGGTGCCGGTGTGGGTCTGGAGGTGGCGCTGCAGCTCGTCCGAGCGCGTGAAGCGTTTGCCGCAGAAAAGCCAGTTGCACACGAAGGGACGGTCGCCGCTGTGCCAGCGCAGGTGCGCCTTCAGATGCGACGTCTTGGCGTAGGCTTTCCCGCAGCCCGGGATGTGACAGTTGTGCAAATGCTTCTTCTTGCCCCCATCAGGCCCACATGGAGCCCCCAGTCGCTCCGCCTCCAGACAGTTGGGGCAGCGACAGACGGTCTGGCCTGAGCTCCGGGGCACCGACCGCCGGGAGCCTTTGGGGCGTGCTGCCCCGTCTAGGCTGGAATCCAGCCCTTGGGACTCCGGGGCGGCTGCTTCCAAGGCCTTGGCCCCATCGGGCGGCCCTAGGAGATGCTGCCCTCCGGCAGCTGGAAGGAGGTGGTGCGAATGCGGGTGGGGTGTCGGAGCACAAAGCTGGTGGTCTCCGACGTAGCCCCCCAAGCCCGCCTGAAGCGCCCCGGGGTGGCCAGGTGAGGTCAGCGCTCCCTGAGTGTGGGGGAGGTCCATCCAACTGGTGCCCGGATGAAGGTCCCACCACGAGCCATCCTCCGCGCCTGGGTGAGTCGGCCTGAACCACGATTCATAATGGTGTGACATGTCCGGCTGCAGGAGCTTGGAAAAGGGGCCCGGGGCCAAGGGACTGTCGCTTTCCAGGTCCTCGCAGGTTACCCGCGAGGAGGCCCCTGGCAGCTCATAGCCCTGCGAGAAGTCCACCTCCGGGCCCAGCGGGAGGCTCTGCAGCTCTCCAGGCTGCAGCGGGGAGGGGTAGTCCCCGGCCTCAGGGCTTGTGTGGCCCTGGTAAGTTTGGAGAGGCTGCAGGTCGAGGCGCGGTGGGGAGGCGTGCGGCGCTTCCGTGTGCTGGCTGCCCAGAGAGCCGCAGACAGCGGTTAGCATTGCCGGGATCCGGGGTGCGGTGAAGGCAGGGACGGTCAGGGGCACCTCAGACAGGACCTAAAGGATGCAAAGAAGCGGAGAAGTAAGGGAAATAACCAGCTCACTTTCCCTCCTAACCCAGGTGCCACCCTGCAAAGTTCTCCTCTCTGGCCCCAGGTGTAAAAAAGAAGGATGCACCTCTGCACCGGGACTAGAGATCAGTTCAGAGAATTGGGAGTGAGAGGAAGGGTCCAACATGTGAGGTTCTCATCCAAAGATAGAGGATGATGGAGGTCTACCTTCCTCTAAGTGATCCCTGCCATAGAACCCAGCTCATCCCTTGAGTTGGGCCACTCCCAGGATCGTAGGTCAGATACACCTACAGCACAGTGCTAGAACCATCCCCACCCCAGCTGCCTAGGCCAGCACAAGGGGCAGTGGCATTTCCCCCTGCAGACCTGTTGTCAGCCCAAATGGAGGATCTAGACCCATCTGAGCTTCCCCAGTTTAACTCAGAATACAGATGGGGAGAGGGGGTGATCTGTTTCTGAAACCCAAAGCTTCAGGTGACCTGCCCCTCGGAAAGACCCAAAGGGGTCCGGAGTCTTTAGAGAAAGAGTTCTCATGCCATTCCCAAAGCATGTTCAGTAACGAAAAGCATTTCACCCCCTACACTGGCCCCCTCCTGGCCTGGTCCAATCGGTCCCACTAAACCGATTTCCATGCCCCAACCCCCTTCCCTCAAGCAGGGACTTCACCTCTCTGGGGAGCAACTCTCCAGCCACCAGATACCCCCTGGAATCTAAGAGATACCCCACCACACCAGAAAAAGGTACATTCCCACCCCTCTCCTGACCCATATCAGTGCCAGGCAACTCTCTGGCTGCCACCCATGCTCTCAAGGCTAGGGGAGGCCTAGATATGAAGTTGGGAGGGAATGGCTTCCCCAGAGAAGAGCTTGACAGTAAGCTCTGGAAGGTACCTACCCCTTTAAGTAATACAGGGTCAAAGCACAGGAAGCGAAGGGGGACAAGAGAAGCCATAATCACAGAACTTAAGAGCAACAACTGCCTGAAAAGATGATATAAGTGAGTGCATCCCAGGCATGGATCATTTCTTAGAAGCCCCCCAGATGATTCTTATATATGGAGCCAATTGCTGAGAACCATTGATTCAGGCCAATCTTATTTTGAAGAGGAGGAAACAGGCTGAATGACTTGGCACAGTGACTTGGAAACAAGGATGTTCATTTATTCATTCAATCGACCAGGTCTCCTAACTCCTGGACTCCCAGTCTGTTACTCTCTGTAAACCAGTCTTTCTGTAAACCATGAGAACCCTAAAGACCCCCAACCCTTTCTCAACCACATGTCTGTAGCTTGAAGGTCACTCTCTTCTCACCACCTCTTCCTAAGGCCTCTCTACCGGTTGGGGAGGAGGCCAGTGATTTAGGGCAGGGTTGTTTTCTTCCCACAGCAGGGTTTAGCTGACCCTACCACCTTCTGCCTCTGGGACCAGGGAGGTGGCACTGATAGCCTGGGAGAGGGAGGGAGAGGAGAACAAGGGGGCCTACTCAGGCTCTGGCAGCTTCGCCACAAGAAAGGAAAAGGGCGAAGCTGCAGGAGGGGAGCCCCAGGCCGGGGCGGGGCAGCACAGAAGGGGCTGGGCAGGAGCTGTGCGACCGGGGACCCTAACAGCTTTCATCGCCTGGGAACTGCCCCCGGGGCTGCAGAGTGGGAAGCCTAGGATGATCTGGGCTCCAGAGTGGCTTCTCCAGACAGAAAACGGGAGAGCCCAGGCCTGGGATGCAACTGCCTGCTGCCAAGATTTTGGAAACCCAAAAGCAGGGTGATTCTCAGGTTCTAACACCCACCCCACTGGGTAGAAAACTGCTCTCGAGCTGGCTCAGTCTAGCAGAAGACGCAAGACTAAGATTCTGGGAGTGTGGAGGAGGGGGCAAGAGCTGAGGGTGATAGGGAGCCACCCTTAGGTGGCAACGCTTAAGTTGCCTTTATGGCCCTTGACCCACCCGCCCCAGACGGGCAGCGCTGCCCTGCCCTGGAACTGAGAGGAAAGAAGGGAACAGGACTGAGTGCCAAATATGTGTTCGGTTCACCTCCAGGCCCAGAAAGATTTCAGGAAAGGAGAGAGGACGGCGCACATCGCAGGCTTCTCGCTCCCCGAAGTGGGAAGGCGAGTTGGGGCACCCTTATGCCCCATTCCGCTCTGCCTCTTCGGATCACTGGCTAGTACTCCCAGTTCTCAATGTCCCAGTCCCCTGGTTGTCCCAGTCGCTCCAGTTGCCCCAGTTTCCAGCCTCCTCGGTCCTCCAGTCTCTCCCGTCTGCCCGGTTTTCCCTCCGTCGGGTTCTAACCCCTCAGATCCTTTAGGACTACCCTGTTTTCGGGGCCATAGGTGGCTGGGGCGCGTTCGGAGCGCGTTTTTTCGAGAGGATCTCCGTAGCGCGCACCCCTGGCCACCCCGACCCGGGCTCCTACCTCGAGGCTGCGCGCGGGCTCCGGGCACAGCTGGCTGGTGCGCTACAGACGGGCGCTCGTGGGCTCTGGGCGCCGGCGAGCTCTCCAGGGGCTGGGGGCAGGAGCCGAGGGCGAGCCAGACCCCGCAGCGGGCGGCAGGCGGCAAGCGGCTGGTGGCGGGCGGCGGGCGGTGGAGGAGGTGAGCGCCAGCGAGAGGGCGGAGGACCGAAGGCGGGCAGGAGCAAGCGAGCAAGCGAGCAAGCGAGCGAGGCCAGCTCCGCCCTTGACTCACCCGCGAACTCTGCCTTCATCCTCTCCCCAGCGCTGCTTTTTCCCCTCCGAACTAGCGGCCCCGCCCACCTCACCTGCGGCCGCCTTTAACCCTTGCGGGCTTGGACGGGAGGCCCAACCCGGCCGGCGACGAGGGGGCGGGCAGGAGTGGGGGAGGAAAGCTAACTAGGCCGTGCGCCGCCCGCTCCCTCGCTCCTCCCTGGTCCCCTCCACTTCCTGGGCGAGGGGCCCTGGTGGGGTGATTCCCAGGTTCTAAGACCCGCCCCACCGGGTGGAAAACTGCCACTGAACTGGCTCAGTCTAGCAGGGATGCAGGACTAAGTCCCGGGGGGACTGCATAAGGGGGAAGGTCCTGGGGGCGATACGGAGCCACCCTTAGGCGACAACCCTTAGGTTGCCTCGATGGCTCTTGACCCACCCTCTCTGGACTGGCAGCGCTGCCCCGGAACTGGGAGGAAAGAAGGAAACAAGATTGAGCGCCAAGTATGTGTCCTGTTCACCTCCAGGCCTAGGCCGTGAGAAATTTCTCTTGGCGGCCCTCCTTCACCATTCCCCTGACCTCGGACCCCTGGTCCCCTGCCCTGTCTCGCAGCCCCTCCGCGCAGTTTCTCTCCACCGGCACCCTTCCGCGTCCTTTTTTCCCTCTCGCTTTCGGGGTCTTCCTTTCTGACCTTTCTGAGTGACCACCTCCTCTCCTCCCTCCGCCCAGACTCCCCACCCACCCACTGCACGGGTCTTTGCTGCCCCCACTCCCGTCCCAGGCTCCCGCAGCTCTCACTCTGCTCCTCACCGTAGGCAGCAACCCCAGTGCCTCCGAAATTCACCCCTCAAATCCGCCTCTCCTCGCCCTCCTATCCTAGGGAAAGTGCTCAGCCTACGCACACCCTCGACCCCGCGCACCCGGTTCCGAAGAATGGGCAGGTGCCTGAATGGCTCTGGGAAGGGACGCTTCTGGAAGGAATTGATCTATCCCTTGCCACCACTCTTTCCTAATTTTCACCGGAATATCTAAACCCAAGGCTCTTAATTTGAGGAGGGGTCTTGAATTCCTTTGAGGAAAATGCACAAGCCCAGAGCAATATTCTGGTAAAATTTCAGGAGGCTCGCGGAGCTCACAAAAACTTCCCTCAAGATCTGGATGGGTCGACATTTCTGAGACCCGCCAAGCACCGGAGGGTGGGGAAGTTCCATCCCCACCCACCCACCCATCCATCTGCCTGGGCGCCCAGGTGGCCCCATGCTTCTTTCCGGATTGACACCTCCCAAGCCTTAGTGTTAACCTCTCCGTGTGACGCCTTTTTTGCTGGCAAATGCCGATGAATTTCCCTATTTATTTCGTTTTGCGGGTTGGTCTCCCTTGTGCGCTTTGCTATCGGCTTTTTAAAAATTCGTTTTCCTCTTTATAGTCGATTTCATTTTTGAATTCAGGCTGATTTAATCTCGCCTCTGCAGCCCCTATTCCATCCCCACTGATTTACCTGCCCTGCATCCCTGCTTGGGACACACTCAAATTGTAACTTAAAAATAGTTAAACCGAGTCCACAAGTCGGGTGAAAATCAATCCATGTGTGTATGCTTATGTGTGTGCTATCCCCGCCAGACATCTTATCCAGAATCGATGTCGGATTCATCTGTGCATCTCCCTCTTTCCTAAGGCTCAGTTCTCTCATCTGGACAACCTGAGTACACATTGGTAGAGTCTCCTGGGGGCTTAAAGGAATTGATGTGCCTAAAAATGCTTAGCCCACGGGGCCCCTGGTAAGCACCGAGTAAATGGAAGATATCCTTGTTATAATTATTAAATAAGTCAGTTCCCAGTAAATATTGTTTGGATTAAGGTATACGCACAAAGACCTGTGGACTGGAAGTTGATCGATTTAAATTCCAGTCCCAGCCCTGCGCTTGCTAAACTGGCAGGTCAGGTGACTCTAAGCCTCAGTTTCCTCCTTGGTGAAATGCTGTAAGAGCAGCCACCATGCTAGGGGAAGCATTTGGAAGCCGGAGACGCTGCCTGACATCGGGGGATTGAGATTTCTGATAAGTCTGGGTTTCCTTTTTGCCTTCTTGGTGCTTGGCACCCTGGATGTGGATTCACAGGAACTGCTCTGGATCTTTGTGCCCACGGCTAAATTGACAAGTCCTCTTCATCAACGGGCTTTCGCTCCATCCATTCAGCCTGCAAATCCTAGCCAGTTGAGTTTGTATCCTAGTTCACAGCCACCTCTGGAATAAAGTAGAAGTTCATCAGAAGGTCCAAAACAGAGCCCCCAGTGGGGAACTCTGGTTCCTGATTTGACCTCTGGACATTCCTGCCTACTCTTCCAAGCCACCTGCTGGTGCTGTATCTACTGTTTCTAAAGTGCTAAATCCAGTGCAGGGGTCTGACTCTGGGTGGGGGTGGGGGCAAGTTCTCCCTCCCATTTTTAGGCACCAGATTGCTTTCTCTTCCTGCCCGCTTCTGTCTTTCCCTGGAAAGCAACAGGGATTCAGCCCAAGGATGGTAAACACTCTGCTGTTTTCACTCTAGGCGCCCTTTAACCCTACCCCGATCCAACCAGACCTGCAGCCATCTGGAGTCCCACGAGCAAAGACCCTTCACCTACCTGCAGTTCATCAGCAGAAAATTCAACAACAATGTAATTGTCTCTGGAAACTCCCAGCCATTCTGATTTCCTGCTCTGCCTAGGTTTTTGCCGCTCACTCAGGGTACTGGCACTATCTTTCTTCCAGATCCCTCTCTCCTTGCAGTCCTCTGAGTCCAGCCCTTTCCATTTCCCACTTGCTAAATGTTTTCCCACTGAAAGACAGCCCATGGTCTGACACTGACATGATGAGCAAGGTCACAACAGCACACTGCCCATATACTTATTGCTACTCAAAACTGATCAATGCAGCCCATCACATCTCCTGTATAAACTGAGATCTGTCTTGGACTTGGGCCATTTCTGCTGCTCTTCCTCTTTCCCTCAAATAAATAGTCAGCTTTCCCCCACAAGTGTCCACCTCCCATTCCTGCCACCCCTTTTCTTCTCAAGCTTCATCTATAGTCAGTGATCCACTTGTACCCGGAGAAACCTCATTAGTCTGCATGTTTATCACAACCAGCATTTATTGACTGAGCACCTACTATGTTCCAGGTACTTTATACAAATATCTCTAATTCTCGTGAGTATGCAGCAAAGTAATTATTATTCCCCTTGTACATACGAGGAAGCCAAAGACCAAAGAAATTAAATGATCTGTCCAAGATTACAGTTGTTAAAAGACAGAAGAGGCTGGGCACAGTGGCTCACGCCTGTAATCCTAGCACTTCGGGAGGCCAAGGTGGGTGGATCACCTGAGGTCAGGAGTTCAAGATCAGTCTGGCCATCATGGTGAAAACCCATCTCTATTTTAAAAAAAAAAAGAAGAAGAAGACAGAAGAAGAAACTCAATTCAGATTTCTCAGGCTCCAAAGCCTGTATTCTGCCTACTAGTCCATCTGGCCTCAATATGGCAGAATTGATGACCCTGGAAGTCTGGCTCCCCTAGAGCCTGAAGGCAGAAGGAGACAGCATTCTTAAAGGAATCCCTAGATCAAAGCCATCTCCTATCTTGAGTCTAATGGACAAACTGATCCCATCTTGAATTGCTGAGACAAGTCAGACTCTATACTTGTGATCCCTTCCAAACCTCAACTGTCCTGTAGAGATTGCACTATGAGAATATCAAAGCTGGTCTAGCGCCAAATTGTCTAGTCCAAGTCCTTGTTTTACTGGAAGGGAAACTGAACCCCAAAACAGGGAGATTAGCAGCAAGTTAGAAACAGAGCTGGGACCAGACCAGAGTCTCCTAATTCCTGTTTTCCTCTTCTCACTCTTCTCTATTTCCCACTCCCACCTCCAGGCTGCACTTCCAAGCCTGCAAGCTGATGACCCTGGATGTCAACTTATCCCTTCTTTCCCCTCCTCTCCCCATCATACTCTCCTGATTCCTAGAAAACCAGGTAGAGCCTAGAGCTGGGGTCAAATAGTTTTCTTTAACTCATCCTTTATTCATTCACCAAACCCTTATTGAGGGTCTACTTAAGGCCAAGCACAATGCTGGACACTAATTTTCTCATAAATTCCAGTATCACTAGCTACCACCATCCCTTTTCAGTCTAGAAGATGAACCCAGCTGAGGATAGCTCATCTGTACGTTAATATGTGTATATCTATAAATGTGTGTACATATCGTGTACCTTGTGTACCTGTGGGCTTGAGTGTAGGGTGTCTGTCTTCTGTCCTCCATCACAAAGGGAGTTCCCCACAGGATGTGGATAGTGGCTTCTCCCTTACTACCCTTGCAGAAGTTCTGTCATTTGGGATCTTCCAGGCAGTGAGTGTGTGTGTTCTGCATTTCTATTAACATTTACTTGCCTTTCCTTTCTCGCAGAATAAAGTTCCCAGCTATGAATCCCTATCCCACTTCACTGGGCTGACTACCCCAGCCCAGTCAAAAGACCTCCAAAGGATCCCTTTGGTTCTCCATGCAAACCCTACCAAGATCTCTCTCTTATCTCCCCCTCTCCAAATTCAGAGAGAACCAGACCCTTCTCTATGATCCCCACCTTAGAGTGGAGACCTGATCCTCTTTGTGGAGTTCCCATGTACTGGACAGGGAACAGCCTCTCTTACCAGTCCATGGAGCCCAGAGCTGGCGGTGGCAGTGAGGGCCAAGTGGTGGTGATAAAAGAGACAGGCTTTATAAAGGAGGCGACAGGCAGTGCCAAAGGGGGAGGTGAAAGAGGGAGCAGGAGGGATGCTGCCAAGTCCTCACGGTCTCGGAAGCTTTTACGATAATCCAGGAAACAGTGGCCCCCAGCTCTCCTAGGGGAGTGGTAGGGGGTGAGAGCTGAGTCCGTGAGGTCTGCCAGGAAAGGAGGATTTCAGCTGGGAGTGGGGGCTGGAAGCACTTCCTTCCTTCCCCAGAGTTGGCTGGGCAGTGGGAGAGGGACAAAGTGGTTCTTGCAGGGTGGAGAACTTACAGCATAGCTAGGGTCGAGACTTGGGATGGCTAGAACTCTCCAAATTCCATCCCCTCTTTCTGAGGTTTCCTCCATGGACTTGGTGGGAAGGAAAGAAGTTCCATTTTTGAGACCTGAAAGGCGCGTTCAACCCCCCTGCCCCACATAACACACAGCGTCAAGTTAGTGCCTCCTTGCAGAGCTTCACGTCGGTGTTGGTCTCTCCTGCCTCCCTGAGCCACAGTTTCTCTCATGCCCTTCTTGTCTTCTCTTTACATATACACCTCCCAACTTGGATCCCCCAGAAGGACCCAGTGTAATCTATCCTTTGGACCTACGGTCTCTCATTTTCAAATGGGAAGGGAGGACTCTTTCCCTGACTTGGGATGGGGTGGGGCAGCTTGGGATGGACAAGAGGTCACCTTACACCAGAGGCAGAGTCCAGCCAAGAACTGTTATAGACAGTTCAGGACTCCTGGAACTCCAGGAGGGTGAAGAGCATAGGAAAATGCCTGGAAAAAAGGGAAGGGGCCTGAAGGTGAATTTAGGAGGAGCCCCTAGATCTGTAACTATTTATATGAGCCTAATTTTAGGGTGGTTATAAGTTTAGGTATACTGGCTGACAAAAACATGTCCTAGGGCAGAGACAGACAAAGAACCAGGAAGGAGAATGGAGATGAAACAGTGTAAGACTTGTTTCTCAAGGCTCACTGAAGCTGGGCATTCTGACCCACATAGGAGAGTGGCCTGGGGGCTTTTCACGGGATGACATCCCATTTGTGGCCATAATCCAATGGCCTTGGCAGAGGACAGGAGCAGATGTACCCCCTCTAAACACACCAGAACCCAGTACCCCAAGACTTGCATGCCACCTCCCTCCCACAGGATGAGCCAGGGAGTCTTCACCTAAAACTCTTCTCCTGCTCCTCCCCCTATACCCTCAGCAATCTCTAGACTGGGGATTCCCAGTCTCTTCATTAACTTTTCAGCAATTATCCCATAAAGGTCCCGACAGGTCCTTCCTCTCCCCATTTCAGAGATGAGAACACTGAGGCACTGAGGAGGTAAAAGCTCAGCAGAAAACCACCCATCAAGCAGGAGAGAATAGAGTAGTAGAGGGCTTAGGAGGCAGAGTTGCACCCGTTTCTTCATTCTTAGGCAAAATTGGAAGGACAGGGCTGGCACAACCCCCTGGAGGAACCCAGGCGTCAAGACTGAGGCAGGCTCCAGGGAGGGGCTTCCCTGTCCCTCCTCACCTTCCAGCACAGAAAATCAGAGTGGGGAGGGGAAACAAGCTGAGGAGACCACACAGGTGGAGTAAATAATGTTAATACGGGAGCATTATCACTAGGGCATTTCCTCATGGATAAATGTCTCAAATACCAAAGGATGCCTCCAAATTATAGTTAATTACAGAGTTGATTTGCATAAATTATAAGGTGAGCATACAAATTCTTTCAATCGGTTCCATATGCTTAGGTAGCAGGTCCAGTCCAAAAGATGGGAGAATCTTGGGGTGGGGGGAGTTTGGGAGAGGAAAAAGACCCAGCCCTCGACCTGGACCTTCAGGCCCACACACCTTCCCCTGGTCTTTGGATCAGTCAGGGGGGTGTGGAGACCCTGCCTGGAGAGCAATGAACACAGCCAGCACTCTACTTGGCAGGAGACCCCCTTTCCTCCTCTATTTGCATCTCCAGACAATGTGCTTTTCCAACAGCAATGATGGGCGGGTGGGAGAGAGGAGCTGGGAAACCAGGGGTGGGTGCCATGGGGCCTATGGCTTGGAGTTGGGGGCGGGACTCCAGAGTCCTGGCTTCTGGCTTTTGGAGCCAGAAGAAGGGAGGGGGCTGAGGAAGCTGAAGACCCAGTGGGGCTAAGGGTAGATCCAATTCAAGCCCCTCTCTCTTGATCTCAGCTCCCCTACCCTCCCCTGGTCCCCCACGCCCGAGCCACTTCCCCCGACTCCAGCTCACTCCCCGTGCCAGCCCTCCGATCTCAGGTTTGATGTTGCCGCTGCCTGCACCTTCCAGGTGGCTCCTCAGCGGCTCAGACTCCCAGACTTTCGTCTCCAGTGCCTGGGCCTATTTCCTCTGCCCTCGCCTCCTGGTCTCCCACCTCTTCCTCCCACCCCTAGCTGCTAAGACTCTACTTCCTTCTTCAGCTGTCTAATTTGTTCCTCCCTCCGGCCCCCATGCTCAGCCCCAGATGCCCATATCCTACTGTTCTTCCGTCCATCTTTCTCCTCCTTGCCCAGTCTCCCTCCCCTAATGATCCCAGGGCTCCCCTACACTCAGCTGTCGGCTTCCCTTTCCCCACCCACCAACTGCTTTCTGCTTTCCAAGCAACGCTTCCTCCCACCCTAAACTTTCCTAGCTCATGTCCCCCCAAATCCTTACTGCATATAGTTCTCTGATTTTTCTCAATATACCTGCTCCAAAGGCAGAAGTACTGGATTTGCTTAGGTTGCAAGGAGGAGGCTGGGCTAAGTAAGGTCTCCCAAATGTGTGCAGATGAGAGTTTTTTATCTTAGGGCAGGGGAAGATGATAATGAAAGAGCCTAAAATGGTGTCTGGTACTTAGCAAGTATTTTACAAATATTTGTTGAATTAACAAATGAGATGGAAATGGGCATCAGCCTGTGAAAATTCTATGGAAGTGTCCACTTGCTGACAAAAATTACTTCTTGTCTCAATTAATTTTCAGGTCTCCTATGCCACTTCTGTACCCACCAACCTAAGCTGTCCTGCACCTAATCAATGACAAATTAAGCATCATTTTTTCCCCCCCTGAGACAGAGTCTCCTTCTGTTGTCCAGGCTGGAGTGTAGTGGCACCATCTTGGCTCACTGCCACCTCTGCCTCCTGAGTTCCAGTGATTCTCGTGCCTCAACCTCCTGAGTAACTGGGATTACAGGTGCCAACCACCATGCCTGGCTAATTTTTGTATTTTTAGTAGAGACGGAGTTTCACCATGTTGACCAGACTAGTCTTGACCTCCTGACCTTAAGTAATCAGCCTTGCCTCAGCTTCCCAAAGGGCTGGGATTACAGGCGTGAGACACAACGCCCGGCCTAAGCATCCTAAAATGCCACTCCATCTCCCACACATCCACTGGCTCCACAGTGCTAACTGTGTCATTCAGGACCCTCCTACTTGACCTCTATCCCCTGTGCAGTCTTCTCCTGCTGGTCCTCATACAAACCCTAGAGCCCAGCTCAGCCCAATGGACAAGATGTTCACCAAACACGTCCAGCCCTCCTACCTTTGTTGAAGCCATTTCCACCCCTGCCAGCCATTCTTGCCTCGGGAAAGCACATTAACCTTCAAGCTCCTGGCTGGCCCATAGGCGGCTTTCTCTGCAAAGACTTTTCTTATCAGTGCATCACTGGCGCACTCCTCTGAACTTCCTTAGCCCTTGTTGCCTCATGCTCTCCTTCTATGGGCTTGTTTTCTTATCTTCCCTACTGGTTGGATCCTTGAGGGCAGGGACTATATCCTTTTCATGCCACAGGTTCCCCAGTCTAGAGCCTTTCTTTGAGAAAGGGGTGAATAAGCGACAGCTGAGTGAATTTGAGAAAGGGCTCCTCAGAATCCAAACTTCCAGAAGCTCCCCACCTGGGGGAGGGCAACAGTGAAGGCAAAAGCCTGGGTTGGGGGAAGACACAATAGGGGACTTGAAACCCACAGATCCATGAAGCAAGCACACACAGCTTCCTACTGTCCCCCTGGCTGGCCCTGGTTGTGTGATGGAGGTGAAAGGACCCAGAGAGTATCTGGGACATGCAGGGTTGGAATGGGGGCTGAGGGAGAGTGAAGTTCCAGTTATCCTGCCTGGAACAAGGAATTGCAGGTTTGGGGTGAAAGGAGCAAGGGCAGTGAGTGGAGCCGGGAGAAAGGACTGGCTGGGTGTCAGTCACGGAGACAGGCAGAGGCAGAGAAAGCAGAATCCCCTAGTCCCTCGGTAGGAATTTAAACTTTTTTTTTCTTATTGAGATAAAATCTTACTGTGTTGCCCAGTCTGGAGTACAGTGGCACGATCTTGGCTCCATGGTGTGGTCACTACAAAGCTCTGGCTCCAACCTGGGAGCAGCTGGCTCTGGGCCTTGAACATTCCGAAACTGTCAAGATTGGCAAGGTTGATTGTACACAGCACTATGAACTCTGCTCCGGAAACCAGGTTCGTGGCTATCCCACTCTTCTCTGGTTCCGAGATGGGAAAAAGGTCGATCAGTACAAGGGAAAGCGGGATTTGGAGTCACTGAGGGAATATGTGGAGTCACAGCTCCAGCGCACAGAGACTGGAGCTGCGGAGACCGTCACGCCCTCGGAGGCCCCGGTGCTGGCAGCCGAGCCTGAGGCTGACAAGGGTACTGTGTTGGCACTCGCTGAAAAGAACTTCGATGACACCATTGCAGAAGGAATAACCTTCATCAAGTTTTATGCTCCATGGTGTGGTCATTGTAAGAATCTGGCTCCCACTTGGGAGGAACTCTCTAAAAAGGAATTCCCTGGTCTGGCAGGGGTCAAGATAGCTGAAGTAGACTGCACTGCTGAACGGAATATTTGCAGCAAGTATTCGGTTCGAGGCTACCCTACATTGTTGCTTTTCATTGTTGCTTTTCCGAGGAGGGAAGAAAGTCAGTGAGTGCAGTGGAGGCAGAGATCTTGACTCATTACACCCCTTTGTCCTTGGCCAAGTGAAAGACGAACTCTAGAAATGCAGAAGTCACCTCTCCTGCCAGGCTCCTGCACCCTGCGTCTAGGAGTTCAATCCCACAGAGGCCACTGGGTTCCTGGTGGTGGCTGTCCAGAAAGCAGAACATACGGAGCATGTGGTATCTTCTTTGTGTGTGTGTTTCTCAAGCCAACACACTCTACAGATTCTTAGTTTCTCCAAGTAAATGTGTAACTCATGGTCAAAAAAAAAAACCTCCACCTCTAAGGTTCAAGGGATTCTCATACCTCAGCCTCCCAGGTAGCTGTGATTACAGGTGCACATCACCACACCTGGCTAATTTTCATATTTTTAGTAGAGGTGGGTTTCACCATGTTGGCCAGGCTGGTCACAGACTCCTGACCTCAAGTGATCTGCCCGCATCGGCCTCCCAAAGTGCTGGGATTACAGGCGTGAACCACCACGCCCGGCCCAGGAATTTAAACTTCTTACGAGGGTAGAAAGATCCCAGTCAGGTCACGCCTCAGCTCAAAAACATTCAATAGCTCCCCATTACTTACAGGAGAAAAGCTACACTCTTAGGCCTAGATTTGAAGCCTCATTCCCACCCGGCCTCAGCCTCGCTTGCCAGCCACATCCCTTCCTAGTACCCAGGAGTCATTCCCATTCCACTGCAAGCTTACCGACCACATACTTCCACACCCCACAGTGTCCCATGTGTGAAATATTCTTCCCCATTTCTCTGCCCAGTGAGCTCCTATTGATCTTTTAAATCCCAACTCTGAAAACAGATCATACATGTAAACTTATTTCTAAAATTAAAAGAAAAGAAAACTATAGCAGAGAGGCTAAAATCTATTTATCAAAACCAGCATATATTTGGAAAGCTAAACGTTTCCTCGATGACTGGCAGCAAACTCGTGGCCCCCACCTTTGTATATTCAGGAAACTTATTTAAATCCAGGCCTCTGCTTCTCCTGGGGCAGCCAGTTTTAACCCCACCCTGTCACCATGAGCACCCCAGAAGATCGCGGCGCCCCTAGCCATTTTTATACAGCCATGTAAATCCTCCTGTACAAGCGAACATGGAATATATACATATATAACTCAATAAACAGAATTATAAGTGAAAAAAAAAATCCCAACTCCTATCTTTTAAATCCCAATTCCATGCTCTCTAAAGCCTTCTCCAGTTTTTCAAGTTATACTTTTCTTTGCTCCCAAAGTCCTAAAATGTAGAGCATTTAACATTTTCCGATGGGTAATAGAATTAGCTGTGTGTGTGTGTGTCAGATCGTGAGTTCCTTGAAAAACTAGAAATCTCTATTCATCTTTGTACCCCCCACAGCATCTCATACAGCGACTAGTACTGAGTGTGCAATAAATGCATGTTGCACTGGATTGAATTTACACCCTTTGCAGAGGAAAAGGGGCTGTCAGGTCAGAAGTTGATGAATTCTCTATAAGTCCCTTTGTTAGCTGGGTACAATGGATCACACCTGTAACCCCCACATTTTGGAAGGCGGAGGCAGGAGGATTACTTGAGGCCAGGAGTCGCAGGCCAGCCTGGGCAACATAGCGAGACTCTGACTGGGTATGGTGGCTCATGCTTGTAATCTCAGCACTTTGGGAGGCTGAGACAGGCAGATCGTGAGGTCAGGAATATGAGATCCCCCTGGCCAACATGGTGAAACACTGTCTTTACTAAGAATACAAAAATTAGCCAGGCATGGTGGCATATGCCTGTAATCCCAACTACTCAGGAGGCTGAGACAGAAGAATTGCTTGAACCTAGGAGACAGAGGTTGCAGTGAGCCAAAATTGTGCCACTGCACTCCAGCCTGAGCGACAGAGCAAGACTGTATCTTAAAAAAATTAAAAAATGGGGCCGGGCACGGTGGCTCAAGCCTGTAATCCCAGCACTTTGGGAGGCCGAGGCGGGTGGATCACAAAGTCAACAGATCGAGACCATCCTGGTCAACATGGTGAAACCCCGTCTCTACTAAAAATACAAAAAATTAGCTGGGCATGGTGGCACGTGCCTGTAATCCCAGCTACTCGGGAGGCTGAGGCAGAAGAATTGCCTGAACCCAGGAGGCGGAGGTTGCGGTAAGCCAAGATCTCACCATTGCACTCCAGCCTGGGTAACAAGAGCGAAACTCCGTCTCAAAAAAAAAAATAAATAAATAAATAAATAATTAAAAAAATAAAAATAAATAAATAAATAAATGGTTAAAATAAATAAATCCCTTTTGTCACATCACTGAGAGTTGGCCTCATGGGCTTCAAGGCACTGCATCAAAAACATGCCCTTACCCTTCCTCTTTCACCCTGACACTGTGCCCAGTGCCCTGTCAGCAATCCAAGGTCAGGCTGGCAGACAAGGCTCCATAAGAGGCCCGGCATCCTGGGTCCTGGCCAACTGGGCACAGCCACCAACCCAGGGTCACCCAGAGAACCTCCAGGGTCACCCAGAGAACCTCCAGCAGGATCCCATGAGAAGAGAATTAGAGAGGAGGCTGGGTATGAGGACCTGGCAGGCGGAATCAGGCAAGAACGAGGAGGGAGAGCAGTGCCCTGGAAAGGGGGCCGGTCTCATTGTTGTGGTCTGTCTGGGAGATTCCTCCCCTTTTTAATTTGCTTCCTGATTGAGGGGTTGGCTCTGCCTGCCCAGTTCCCCCATCATTATCTGCTGCCGGTGGCTCAGGTGCTGGCGAGCCTGGCGTGGCCCCTAGGTTATTACCTGGAGCTCTGGGGGTGGCAGAGGTTGCCCCTCTGGCCGGGGTGGGGGCCTGTCTGGAATCTGCCCTGATCCTACCACCCACAGGGCAGCCATCTTGATGCCCAGCATAGTGGGCATATTGACTTGGTTCCAGGAAACAGCTGATCCCAGGCAGACTTCAAGGTGTAGATAAGTTTCATCTTTCTTTTCTTTTCTTTTCTTTTTTTTTAAGACGGGGTTTCACCATGTTGGTCAGGCTGGTCTTGAACTCCTGACCTCAGGTGATCCGCCCACCTTGGCCTCCAAAGTGCTTGGATTACAAGCGTTGAGCCACCATGCCCGGCCATAAGCTTCATCTTTCAAATGCCTACAGTATGGATTCAAGAACCTGAAGGAATGGCCACAGTGGCTCATGCCTGTAATCCCAGCACTTTGGGAAGCCAAGGTGGGTGGATCACTTGAGGTCAGGAGTTTGAGACTAGCCTGGACAACATGGTGAAACCCCATTTCTACCAAAAATACAAAAATTAGCCAGGCATGGTGGTGCACACCTATAGTCCCAGCTACTCGGGAGGCTAAGGCATGAGAATCGCTTGAACTCAGGAGGCACAGATTGCAGTGAGCCAGGATCAGGCCGCTGCACTCCAGTCTGGGCCACAGAGTGAGACTCCATCTGAAAAAAAAAAAACCTGAGACAGCCAGCCACAGTGGCTCATGCCTATAATCCCAGCACTTTAGGAGGCCAAAGTGCGCAGACTGCTTAAGCCCAGGGATTCAAGACCAGCCTGGGCAACATAGCCAGACCCCATTTCTACAAAAAGTACAAAAATTAGCTGGGTATGGTGAGGGTGCCTGTACTTGGGAGGCACTTGGGAGGCTGAGGTAGGAGGATCACCCAAGCCCAGGGGATCAAGGCTGCAGTGAGTCATGATTACACCACTGCATTCCAGCCAGGGAGACAAAATGAGACCCTGTCTCAAAAAAATAAAAATTAAAAAAAAAGGGCCTGTAATCCCAGCACTTTGGGAAGCTGAGAACAGCAGATCTCCTGAGGTCAGGAGTTCAAGACCAACGTGGCCAGCATGGTGTAACCCCATCTCTACTAAAAATACAAAAATTAGGCAGGCCCAGTGGCAGGAGCCTGTAATCCCAGCTACTCAGGAGGCTGAGGCAGGAGAATTGCTTGAACCAGGGAGGCAGAGGTTGCAGTGAGCCAAGATCATGCCACTGCCCTCCAGACTGGGTGACAGAGCGAGACTTTGTCTAAAAAAAAAAAAAAAAAAATTGGGTGTGGTGGTGTGCACCTGTAGTCCCAGCTATTTGAGAGGTTGAGGCACAAGAATCATTTGAACGTGGGAAACAAAGGTTGCAGTGAACCGAGATCACACCACTGCACTCCAGCCCAGGCCACAGAGAGAGACTCTGTCTCAAAAAAAAAAAAAAAAAAGGTAAAACACCCAAAGTTCGATCCATTCCTCAAAGGCTGTGAAAGGAATTGAAGTCAGTCACTAAGAGCTTCCCAGCCATGTGGGGATGAGAAAGGAGAAAGAGAGCAGTGAAGCTGGGGATTCTCCTGCTGAATCCTTCCTGTTCTGTGGTGTTCAGAAATCCAAGAGTCATAGAGGGGAAAAGTGGCATTGATCTATGAACCTGGGACACTAGAACCCAGCATGCGGGACTTCCTGCTGTACAGGTGCAGAGGAGACTCAGACTCCTCTAGCGCCTGGAGCATTGGACTTCAGACCTCTGCCCAGCCTGAGGGCATGGCCTAGAACCATAGCAGGGAGGTTCTTCCTTGCCTCTTCCATCTCTGAGTCCCCAAAGCTCTGGCCCTTTGCCTTGATTGGGCCTGTGGGCTTCAAGGACAGGAGATAATATCAAGATAAACAGGAAGCACCAAATTAGAGACATGAAGTTTGTTGTTTTAGAGGGCACCCAGTGCCAAGCAGCGGTGCCAGTTTGGCAGCCCTGGAGCCTGATGCTGCCTGCTCCCTGCACAGCCAGCTGCCCCTTGGACCACTGCAGGAGGCCCTCTGGACAGGAAGGGAGGATGGGGTGGAACATGGTAGGGAATGGGTTAAGTGAGTAATTCTTTTTTACCTACCAGCTGAACATTTGCAGTGTCACCTCTGATTCAGACTAGGCATTTAGTCATCATTCCACAAATATTTTTAAGTGCCTTCTCTGTTCTAGGCATGTGCTAGGCACAGCATCTTTCCCCTGAAGCTAACATTGTCCTCACTAGAAAGTAAGCTTCATGGAGGCGGGGGGTTTTGTTCATTGCACTACTCCCAGTGCTTGGAATGGTGCCTGGTACTCTATAAGTGCTTTGTAAGTTTGTTGAATAAGCTAATGGAAGGAAGGATAGAGGGAGAAAGGAAGGAATGGAAGGAGGGAGGAAGGAAGGAGGGAAGGAGGAAGAGGCCCTTAAAGTGGACATAAGAGGGTCCCATGATTTTTCAGTATACTGAATTTTTTATTTTTTTAGATGAAGTCTTGCTCTGTCGCCCAGGCTGAAGTGCAGTGGCACGATCTCAGCTCACTGCAACCTCTGCCCCCTGGGTCCAAATAATTCTCCTGCCTCAGCCTCCTTGGTAGCTGAGGTTACAGGCACCACACCACCAAGAGCAGCTAATTTTTTTTTTGAGACGGAGTTTTGATCCTTTTGCCCAGGATAAGTGCGATCTCGGCTCACTGCAACCTCCCTCTCCCGAATTCAAGCAATTCTCCTGTCTCAGCCTCCCACATAACTGGGATTACCTGCATGTGCCACCATACCCGGGCTAATTTTTTTTTCTTTTTTTTTTTGGTAGAAATGGGGTTTCACAATGTTGGTCAGGGGCTGGTCTCGAACTCCCAAGCTAAGGTGATCCACCCACCTTGGTCTCCCAAAGTGTTGGGATTAAAGGCATGAGCCACTTTGCCCAGCCTACTCTGGACTTCTTAATGAGGGCATTGATGATCCACAAGTGCTGTCCTCTCCATTCCATTCTGTCCACCTCCAAATGAATCTTTTTGTCTTTTTTTCCTTTTTTTTTGAGATGGAGTCTCACTCTATCACCCAGGCTGGAGTGCAATGACACAATCTCAGCTCACTGCAACCTCTGCTTCCCAGGTTCAAGTGATTCTCCTGCCTCAGCTTCCAGAGTAGCTGGGATTATAGGTGCATGCCACCAACCTGGCTAATTTTTGTATTTTTAATAAAGACAGGTTTTCACTATGTTGGTCAGGCTGGTCTCAAACTCCTGACTTCAGGTGATTCACTTGGCCTCCCAAAGTGCTGGGATTACAGGTGTGACCCACCATGCCCAGGCCACCCTTTTATTTATTTATTTTTTTATGAGACAAGATTTTACTCTATTTCCCAGGCTGGAGTGCAGTGTGCCATCATAGCTTATAGAAGACTCTGACTTCCAGGCTCAAGCAATCCTCCTGACTCAGCCTTCTCAGTAGCTGGGACTACAGGTATGACACCACATCCAGCTAATATTTTAATTTTTTTATAGAGATGGGTGTCTCGCTATGTTGTCCAGGCTGGTCTCAAACTCCTGGCTTCAAGTGAGCCTCCCATCTTGGCCTTCCAAAGTGCTGGGATTAGAGGTGTGAGCCACCGCACCCTGCTGAATCTTTGAGTCTTAACACCAGTAGGTGGTCATGGTCCAGTTCCTTGCCCAGATGCCCACAGGGACTTCAGCTTCCAGGCTGCAATCACAGAGAATGAAGAAGGAAGGCTGATCTGAACATATGGGCAGGTGTTGCAGGAAAGCCCTTCAGCCCATAACAGACCCCCTCTGGGCATCAAGGTGACAGTTGTCTTCCAAGGCCCGAGGAGGCAATTGCTCTCCTGGACCCTGACTTGCTGCTCTTTGCCCCCGCATCCTCCTCCCTACATGATGGTGCCAGGTAAGGCTTCAGGCATGGCAGAGGCTGAACTGAGAGCCACCTCACCTTGTTCCTGTGGCTCCATCCCCCATCCACACCCAAGAGGTGAGATCCTGGGGCACTTGGCATCTGACAGCCTGGCATCGACTCTTGCCAACAGCTTGGAAGCTGCTGTAATTAGAAGGGGAGAGGGAGAGAGAAGGAGAGCGAAGGTAAGCTCTAGAGAGAAACCTTCTTCTCCTGCCTGCCGCAGGGCAAACTACTTCAAACGAATTCGTTTTGCTCTTGTGAAACTGAAGACAATTTCCTTTTCTGTCATAAAACAAATTATTGCTCATCATGAGTGCTGGGCTAGTCTCTCTCCTGAGGGTGTGCTCCTGCTCCTGTGCAGGAGGAGGGGGAACATGAGGGGAGGGGACCCAGGGGTGAAGGGGATTCCTGGGAGCCACCCTGAGGAAGGCTAGGAAGAGAAGCCGAGGAGAGATTCATGCTTCTCTCTGGAGTCCCCTCATTGACCTCCCCCACTGACCAGGAAAAGGGTCCAAGAAGGTACCACTGGCCCCGACCACCAGGACCCAAGGAGCCTCTGAGAGAGTCCATCCCTCCTCCATCATCCTGCCTCCAAGCCAGGCTGGGGAAGTCTCCACTCCTCCCTCAGGCACCTGTTCCTGCTGTGGAGGGGTGAGGACCGGAAAGGGAAGCCCAGAGAAGCTGAGAGACTTGCCAGAGATCACTCAGCACATTAATTAATGGCAGATCCAGGATAAGAGCCAGTGGGTTCTCTTCCAGGCCAGGATGGGAGGGTGCCTGGGGACTTTTGTTAGCACCTTTAGGACTTTGGGTTGCTTCAGTGAGCAAACGGCACCCAAATGCTGCTGATGTCCCTAGAGGCAGTCTAGAAAGAGGAGCTGGAGCACAGGGCTCCCTCCATCCTCAGTCATCAGACCTTCATGCTGCCCCAACCATGCCCTTTCACCTCTTCTGGTCTTCGCTTTGAAAAACTTCTAGGGGACCTCCCTTCAGACCCACAAGATGAATGATGGGGAATTTTCCTCTTCCCACCCCATCTACCCCACTAAATGTTGGTTGCTGTTCCTTTCTCTTCTCTACACTGATCACCGGGCCAGGGCTCAGGGGAGACATGCTTTGTCTTTATGCTTCAACTATTACCAATTTTTCATCACCTCCCCTGATAATTGCCCTCTTCCCCTCCCTCACTTCTCCAAGCTCTAGTCTCATGGCTTTTCTGGGAATTCGGGGAAATATAAAGGTTCCTGTCCCTGAGGAGCACTTAACTGGGGTGGGAGGGGATACAGACTGACACTCGCAGGCACCCAGAAGAGACGAGAAACAGGAAGACTCTGGCTGGAAAGAATGTGGGTCTCAGGATGAGGAGAGGGAGGGCAGGAAAGAAAGGAGGAGGCAAGGCCAGGGAGGGGTCTCTGAGAGGGCTTCTCGGAGAATGAGGGCAAGGAAGATGTGAGGAGGGGTGTGGAGAAGCAAACCCAAGTCACAGACTCCCTGGAGACAAGGAGGAAGATGGGCCTAGGTTGGGGGCCATGGTTATGCCTGGGAAGGGGCTGGGAGCCAGGAGATGAGGTTCAAATCCCTGCCAGAGATGATGCAGGCAAGTGGGAGGGCCAAATACAAACAACCATTCCAGGGAGGTGGAAACCTAGTTTTAAGCCAGGGTGAATGGAGAAATGTTTGGGGTTTGGCTGCGGGAACGGAGCAGCCAGACAGCCACCGTGAACAAAAAGGCTCTGGGATCGCATCCGAGGCCTGATGGGAGATGGAGAAATCACCTTGCCCACCCCTCTTCCCCCAGGCACACGTGTTTCTTTCCCTCCCAACCTGCTGATAGGCACTCTGGAAAGGGGGGGCCCACCACCTGCCAAGTTCCCTGCTCAGCAACACCCCCAAACATCCTTCCTTGTGTTCAACCACAATTCCTCTGATGGCCATTGGAGGTTTGGCAAGGAGAACGCAGGAGGGAGATGGAAAGCAACTGCCTCACTGAAAGTGGCTGGGAGGGAGACAGGGAGGGGGAGGTGAGCAGAGGGCAGGGCCGGGAGAGGATCGTGTCCGGGCGAAGACTCCTGCTCATCGGACACGCCACGCTGGGAATCTGAGAATCTGTGGTGGGAATGGGCCGGGCTGGTAGGAACAAAGGATGAAAGCGAGGCTGTGCGGCCGGCTGGGACATACACACCCATCGCTGACGTACTTCGGTGGCCGGTGACCTCAGCCAGGTCGTCAGACCCCGTCTTATCGCACTGCCCCAGTGAGGGTCCCCATGCACCAGCCCCGAAACAGGGCCTGAGAGCATGAGATAAGTTGGTTAGATGCCAGAAGGACGTGCTGTCAGGAGGAGCTCAGGGAATGACATTTCCGAGACAGGCGGGGTCAGAAGAGGGGATCTGGGAGGGCAAAGAGAAGCCATGAGGCTTAGAGGAAAAGTGGAGAAACCATAATGTCAGTGACCCCGACTTGAGTATATAGGGTCCCGGTGGTCAGTTGTTCATGTCTACTAAGAATTCTGACAGTGGGAGGGCAGGGCCCTGACTAGGCCTGGAATGCCGAGGACTTGGGTTAGACACCAAGAATTTCTTTGCTTTTGGGTGATGGGAACACTAAGAGACTGAGTGAGGACCCACCACTATCTCAGAAAATCTGGACTCACGCTTCATGTGCAAGGGTAGACCACCACTTGGCAACACGGCGAGTGGGGGCTCTAATCCTCCCACCTCACCCTCATGGACCTCAGCTTCCTGGGCCCCCTGTGGAAACCCATTGCTGGCATTTCCTCTGTTCCTTTGGACCAGGAAGCGGGTGGGGCACTGTGGTTATGGTGGTAGCTCCCTCTCGCTTATCCCATCTAGGGAAGGAAATGGGCTTTTGCTGTTTTTTCTCTCCCGGTTTTGAGGAGAGGAGCCTGGGAAGGAAGAGCCTGTTTGAGGACTTCATCTGTTCTTCTAAAGATCTCGCCCCCACTGGAAGCCCTTGGCAGATCCTCAGCCACAGCCACACTTCCCGTGTCTTCCCCAACCACCCCTCACAGGTGTTCCTCCTGAACAGAGCATGACATGCAGCCACAAACATAGAGCCTCCGCTGGCATGCACACGCACACACACATGCACACATGCCCTCACTCAGCCACACACCCTCTTAGGTCGTCACTTACCCAGAGGCTCATCCAGACCCCAATGCAGGCGTACACTGTGACCACTGGAGCAAGCACGCCCCACTCACCTCAGCACAGAGCCTCACCATGCCAAGAGGCCCCACACACTCCTGGGGTCCCCTTCACCCATGTGCTCCCTCACACGCTCTCCACTACCATTCAGGCAGTGAGCATCTACCATGAGAATGAAGTGCAAAGACAGACCAACATGGCGCCTTACAAGGTGGTGGGAGACTCAGTTACATTAGCAGGGTGTTGCAAAGCAGCACTCAAAGTGCTGGAAGAGGAAAAAGCATCGAGTACCCTGGGGATGACCCAAGTCTTGGAAGCCACTTGCCTACACATCGAGTGGGGGGCACTGAGCCTTCCACTTTCATACCTGGGCAGCCAACCCAGACCTGCCTGCATCAGAGCCAAAGTGCTCCTGGCCGACACCAAGCTGCCTCCAACAGCGACAGAGCTTCCACACTCAGGAGGTCCTAATCTAGTCCCTAGTAGCTTCCTTATACACAGCCAGACCCCCCTAATCCCAACCCTCATGCACACACATAGGCCCATATCCCAGCCCTCTGCTCTCACACACCCTCCCTCTCAGTAGCCAGGGCCACTTGTCACTAGAGGAGCCATAACTAGCAGCTGCTGAGGCTGCCAGGGAGCTTTGGAGCAGGCAGAAGGGAGGGAGTGGAAGGGTTCCTGAGGTAGGGGGCTTGGGAGCAGGATGGGGGAAGAAGGAGGGGGCTGGCTCCAGTGCCCTCTTCTCTGCTCTGCAGGTGTAATTAGCCCTGGCAGATGAAAGGGCGTCTTTGAAAGCGGGCGAGATCCTTGTCTGTCAGCAGGGCGCTCTGGGTGGCATCGGCAGCTTATCCTGAAACCACACACGGCACCAGAGCCGGGCTGTCTGGGTGCTGCCCAGGAGGTTGGGAGGCAGACCCCAGGGGCGTGAGCCCTTGACTCCCTATCCCCTATATCTCCACCCTCGGCTCCCTGCTTCTATGAGCAGAAGCTTCTCAGAACAGAGTCCTCCAGAGCCTGGTGTGCCACTCCCAATAAGCTGATGCCCCATCCCTGCGGCCTGAAGGGTCAGGGTACTGCCTCTCCACTCCTGCCAAGCTGGACAGGAGGCCAAGGACAATGGCCCTAGGCGGTCCTTTCATCCTGAGATCTCAAAGCGCCATCTAATTCACCCCGCCCAGGTTGGGGACTTCCTCTGCAGTCCCTTTGGAGGGTGTGGTCTGGGACCAGCAGTTCCCAGATCTCAACTTGGATAGGAGCCCCAAGAGGGCAGGATCTCCCAGTCCTCATCCTGTTTGGGATCTGGGGAGTTTGGAGGTACAGCAAATTGAGGGTGCTAACACCAAACTCTGAAAAGGGGTTGACAGGGATCTCAGGAGAGCCTGAGTTTGACACCCAAAGGAGGATAATCCCTGAGGCATCCTCTCCCTCCTATTGCAGGTGGGTTCAAACTCAAGCAAAGGATGAATCTCAAGAACATGCAGAGTGAAAGAGGCTGGCTCTAAAGGCACAAACAGTACATGATCCTACCCACATGAAGGTCAAAACCAGGCAGAAACACTAATCTATACTCTTTGAAGTCACAATAGAGATTCCTTATTTTTGGGGTGTTTAGTACCTTGAAGGGGGTATAATGGGTGCTTTGGGGTGTTTGCAACCTTCTGTTCCTTGAGCTGAGTGTTGGCTACCCAGGTATGTTCATTTTGTGAAAATTCATCCCGTTTTTGGCCAGGAACAGTGGTTCACGCCTGTAATCCCAGCACTTTGGGAGCCTGAGGTGGGCAAATCACTTAGGACCAGGCTGACCAACATGGAGAAACCCAGTCTCTACTAAAAGTACAAAAAAATTAGTCAGGTGTGGTGGCGCATGCCTGTAATCCCAGCTACTCAGGAGGCTGAGGCAGGAGAATTGCCTGAACCCAGGAGGCGGAGGTTGCAGGTGAGCCAAGATCACACCATTGCACTCCAGCTTGGGCAACAAGAACGAAACTCTGTCTCAAAAAAAAAAAAGAAAATAAAGAAGCATTCAGTTTTGTGCTTATGATTTACATATGTTCTATATTTACAACATTTTTCTATGGGCATTTTGTAGTTCAATAAACATTTACATTAAATATTTTTACATATCAAGCCAATAATTTGTCTTATGATTCCTTTAAGGGGCTCTCACATTTGTCTCTTTCCTCAGCTGGAAGATCAAAGAGTTTATTCCAGAATGAAGACCTAGTAAGGCCAGATTCTCAGAGAATTTCTGGACCGTATGTGTGTTGGGGGAAGAAAGAGGGGAGGCTATACAGAGCCAACACAATGATACACCCCATTCCCTACCCCCACTGCAGTCCTCAGACACACTAACCTATTTCACTTTGCTAAAAGCCAATGGATGCTTTGATGCCAAGGGAACCAATGAGATCACTGGGATCCCTGCTCTCCTCTGTCCCACCCCCACTATCTGCTCCTGAAATCTGTTCCCAGTCAGGGTCCTACCCTCTCCACCTCTCTCGGTCAGCTCTGCCCCTTTCATCTCCCTCCTGTGCTTCAGGGCCTAAAAGAGATAGCTTTGGAGGGGTGGAGGGTATTTGTGAAGAAGCTGCTGGTCCCCACCTCATCAAATGACATCCCTGCTTCCTTCCCTCCACCCAGGAAAAAGGCAGGAGGCATTGATTTCTTCTTCTGCCACTGAGGGAGAGGGCTTTGAGCTGGACTTCCTGATAACTGGGGTGGTAAGAAGTTCTTGAGTCCTTGGAGGGGGTGAACAAAAGCCAGGATTTTTTTTTTTTTTTTTTTTTTTTTTTTGAGACTGAGTCTGGCTCTTTCACCCAGGCTGGAGTGGAGTGGTACAATCTCAGCTCACTGCAACCTCTACCTCCTGAGTTCAAGTGATCATCCTGCCTCAGCCTCCTGAGTAGCTGGGATTACAGGCGTGTGCCACCACACCTAGCTGCTTTTTGTATTGTTAGTAGAGATGGGGTTTCACCCTGTTGTCCAGGCTGGTCTCAAACTGCTGACCTCAGGTGATCCACCCATCTTGGTCTCCCAAAGTGCTGGGATTCTAGGATTATAGGCATGAGCCACCAAGCCCAGCCAAAATCCAAGATTCTGTATAAAGACTGACCTGTCTGGAGACAGGGAGAGATGAGATCAGTTTACGGGGTCCTAAACTTGCTGGGTTTTCACTGCAAAGAACCTTATCACCCAACCATGAACATCTGGAGGTACTTGCTCCTGACATAGAGCATCCAGCTGGGAAGGGATCCTAAACATCCAGGTTTCCTAATTGGCACCCAGCACCCCCTGCCATGCCAGAGGCTGAAACTGCCAGTTTTGTGTGACTTCAGGAGCATTCACCTCCTCCTGTGCTGAACTCAGTGGTGTTCCACTGGCAACTTGGTCTCCACTGGTTTGAGGGACTCTATAACCTAGAACCCAGGGTTCACCTCCCTAGTTTTCTAGAAAATTTGCAGCCCCCACCCCCAAACTCATCTTCCCTAAGTAGCTCCCCTATAACGTGCTGAGAAGAGGGGTTGTTCTCTTCCGACCCTCCTTCTAGCAGGTGGAGTCCATAACCCTTGAGTATTCCAAGGATTTTTGTTTTTCACCCATCCTATATCCCCATTACAATCATTTAAGTTTTCAGCTCTGGCCCTAGAAGAGCAGGGTCAGCTATCTGCCTGCATCAGTAATCATTCATTGAGCACCTACTGTGTGCAAACCATTGTGATTTGTGACTGTCTTGCTAATTTAAGAGCCTTGGCTCATCCCAGTGCCTCTTACTGTCTGTCCCTGCTTCTCCCTCCAAATCATCTTCATTCAACTTCAATGCTCCATTCTCCAAGAGTTACCCAAGATTTAATAAGAATGAGAAGTCTGCTTTCTATGATTATAATTGTTCGTCCTAGTTCTTCTTTTGTCTCCATTTAAGAGAAGGGAAAACCTCTCCATTTCTCTTCCTGTCTCTGTACCTCCAGCTCTCTCTGCATAGCATGTGTCCTGCCTGCCTCTGTATCCCCCTCTGGGTCTCTGGTCTCTGTTTCTCTCTCTCTTTTTATTTTCCTCCCTTCCTTCCTTTTTTCCTGTCCCTCCCTCCCTCCCTCCCTCCCTCCCTCCCTCCCTCCCTCCCTCCCTCCCTCCCTCCCTCCCTCCCTCCCTCCCTTCCTTCCTTCCTTCCTTCCTTCCTTCCTTCCTTCCTTCCTTCCTTCCTTCCTTCCTCTCTCAGTTTCGCTCTGCAGTGGCAATCTCGGCTCACTGCAATCTCTGCCTCCCGACTTCAAGCGATTCTCCTGCTGGGATTACAGGCCGTCAGCACGCCTGGCTAATTTTTGTATTTTTAGTAGAGACGGGGTTTCACCATGTTGCCCAAGCTACTTTTGAACTCCTGAGCTCAGGCAATCCGTCCGCGCGGCATCCCAAAGTGCTGGGATTACAGGCGGGAGCCACTGCGCCTGGCCTCTGGTCTCTGTTTCTTTGGGGGAGGAATCGCTCTGTCTTGGGACCCCCTCCCTAGGTTTGATGTAGGTGTGTCTCAGACCCGATCTCTTTCTCTGTCTCCCTCTCTTTCATTTCCTTTACAGCAAATAGGTAAACAAATGGTCGAAAAATAGGAAAAGGGGAGAAAAAAAGAAGCTAACATGGGGTGTTTTCTCTCAGGTATCAGGGTCGCAGGTGGTTCCAACCTTAACTGGGAACAAGTCCCAACAGGTGCAACCCCTGTCCAGATGTTGCACAATGCAGGCGCGTGCATTGTGCCCAATCCCAGATCGGTTCCCCGGCAGAGGTCCGGGTTGGGGCTGTATTCAAACCAGAAATGTCCTTTCAGGGCTCGCTCCTCGAGACAGACCCCGGCCGGTCTGCTCCTCCCCGAGCCGGCTTGCTGGCGTAGCTGGGAAGCCGGCGAGGTTGTTTGCCGGGAAAGGCCAGTTTGGGACCAGGGAGGGGAGTTCCCTGCGTCTGGGCCTTGGGGAGCTGCAGGCCGGGCGGGGGTGAGTAAGGCCCAGCGGACGCAGGAGGCTCAGTGGCTGCGGCGGCGGCGGCGGCGGCGGCGGCGGCGGCGGCGGCGGCGATGGGGAGGAGGGTAATTAGCAGGGAGGCTCTCGCCACAGCACGTCCCCGCAAATGAGAGGCCCCGGGCCCCAGACACCACACAACAAAGCAGGAGGCAATTATTTGGCTCCAGTGGGAGGGGACAGCCCTTTCCCGGCCCACTGCAGCTGAGCACCCAGCCTCCGTGGAGGACGCGGAGGGTGGGGTGCAGAGACCCCTCTCACCAGCGCCCCCCACCCCCGGCGGTAGGGGCAGGGCCCCGAAGGACTCCCGCTGGGTTACCCTTAGAAGAGGTCCCAGTTTGGGAAGGCAGAGCCGTAGGAGGCCCCAGCCTGATTAGAGCCAGCCCTCAGCCAGCCCGGAGCCTCCTACAAGGCCTCCAAGAGACCTCCTGGGGACCCCACAGGGAAGCGAGAATGTCCTGGGACCGGGGCTGGAGAGGGCGGAAGGGGTTTTGTAGGTCCTGGAAAAGCCAGTGGCCAACATTTGAACCCCCCTTCTCCAGCTGTAGCCACACAACTGGCAACCGAGAGGCTCTCAGGCAGGTGGGGAAACCACAGAAGAGGGAACAGGAGCCAGGGAGATTCCAGAGCTCCGGCCTAGGCCTGGAATTCAAACAATCGCTATGCAAACCAAATGCAAATACATCTTTTATCCCCCATTCAAAAATCGTCAGATCAAGCATATTTGGAAGAAGGCCTCGCCTGATCAGCTGGGACCCCCCCCCCCCAGTCCCCAGCTTCTGCTTGCCTCATTCTCTCTTTCCACTCACCCATCCCCAGAGGAAAACTAAGCCCTAAGATACCTTAGATTCACTTGGGACCCACCTGCAAAGGACTTTAGATGAAAGAGCCCAAAGTATAGATGGGGAAATAGAGGCCTTAAGAGATTAAGGTACTTTCCCCAGCTCTAACAGCCCACCTGGAGAATGACAGGCCTCCTGGAACCTTCTGACAACAGCCCTTGGTCAACAGCATGCCAGCTCGGGGAGGGGAAAGAGCACAGAATCGGGAGTCCTAAAATCTGATCTCTGGTCACAGCTTTGCCTCTAACTTGCTGGGTGATCTTGAGTGAGTCGATTCTCTTCTCCAAGCCTCAGTTTCTCTGAATATCAAGTGGCTATCTCTGGGGAAAAAGGCTCTTCCTGACTTGAGTCCCCTCCCTGTGTCAGAGCCCTACCGAATGGCTGCCAAGGGTCCTGGAGCCAACTGCTCTGCTCCTCACCTTCCCCAGCTCTCATCACTCTGCCTCAGGCCAGCAGAGGATGAACCCCAGCCCTTGTCCTCCTCCCTCCTTTCCTCCCTCTCTCTTTCTCTCATTCCTTCTTTCTTTATTTTTTCCTTTTTTTTTTTTTTTTTGAGACGGAGTCTCACTCTGTTGCCCAGGCTGGAGTGCAACGGTGCAATCTCGGCTCACTGCAACCTCCACCTCCCGGGTTCAAGCAATTCTCCTGCCTCAGTCTCCCGAGTAGCTGGGACTACAGGTGTATGCCACCATGTTTGGCTAACTTTTGTATTTTTAGTAGAGATGGAGTTTCACCATATTGGCCAGGCTGGTCTCGAACTCTTGACCTTGTGATCTACCTGCCTTGGCCTCCCAAAGTGCTGGGATTACAGGTATGAGCCACTGCTCCCAACTAGCTCTATCCTTTTTTCTTTCTTTCTTTCCTTTTATTTCTTTTGCTCCTTTTCTTTCTTTCTTTTGCTCCTTTCTTTTTTTTTTTTTTTAAGATGGGGTTTCACCATGTTGGTCAGGCTGGTCTTGAACTCCCGACCCCAGGTAATCCACCTGCCTTGGCCTCCAAAGTGCTTGGATTGCAGGTGTGAGCCACCATGCCCAGCCTGTTCTTTCTTTTTTCTTTCTTTCTCTTTCTCTCTCTCTCTCCCTCCCTCTCTTTCTTCCTTCCTTCTTTCTTTTTCTTCCTCTCTCTCTCTCCCTTCCTTCTTTTTCTTCTTCCTCATCCTCTTCCTCTTCTTCTTCTCCCTCCTCCCTCCTTCTTCCCTCCTCCTCCTTCTCTGTTCCTCCTTCTTCTTCTTTTTTGTTTTTTTGAGACAGTCTCACTCTGCACCCAGGCTGGAGTGCAGTGGAGTGATCATAACTCACTGCAGCCTCAATCTCCCCAGCTTAAGTGATCCTCCCACCTCACCCTCCTGAGTAGCTAGGAGTACAGGTGCACCACCACACCCAGCTAATTTTTTAAAAGTTTTTCTGTAGAGGCTGGGTCTCATTACATTGCCCAGGCTGGTCTCGAACTCCTGGGCTCAAGTGATCCTCCTGCCTTGGTCTCCCAGAGTGATGGGATTATAGGTATGAGCCATCACACCCAGCCTCATTTTCAAAATCATCCTCAAAATTCACTCTAGGAGCCAGGCAAGGAGTACATGCCTGTAATCCCAGCTATTTGTGAGACTGAGGTAGAAGCATTGCTTGAGCCTGGAAATTCCAGTCTAGCCCAGGAGTTCGAGTCTAGCCTGGACAACAGAGCAAGACCAGCTCTCTAAAAGAAGAAAAAACAATTCCCTTCAGGAGGCCTTACTGGATTAGCCCCACTGACCTCTGGTTGCTGCTGATGTTGGGGCAGTGAGGAAGTCTAGGAAGTGCTCACTGGTCCTGTATTTTTGCCTTTGCCGATATGGGCTGGAGAGCTCCTAAGTAATTTGGAGAGTGTGTGTAGGATCCTCATTGTGCCCCCACTTGCACCCAGGATAAAGACAGAGACTGTCTCTTCTGTTAGACTAGGGGCTTCCCAAGAACATGGGCTGTGTCTTTTCCAGTATACTGTAGCTCTCTTGAGAGCAGAGAGCCCCCATTAGGGTGGGACTGTGTCTCCACCATTAAAACTTTTCCCTAACGTTGATGACTCTGCCCCCTCCCCCTGCCTCAAGCCTGGGGTCAGCAGGAGCCATTCCACAGGGGAGAGGGGCTCAGACAGCTGCCTCTCCCAGGTCTCCACTGACTGCTTTCTCATCTCCCTGCTCCCTCTGCCCCCTTTTCTGGGCCCCTGCCACCACCAGGGAGGCAGCTTTGCCATCTCCCCTCTCCCATTCGGAAGTGATTTGGCTTCTTCTCTTCTCAAAAACTCTAGCCTGGCATCTGCCTCCTCCTCTTCTCCCAGTTTCCCACCACCCTTATCCCTCTTCAGGGCCTCAGGGCAATTATTTGCCATCTGGGGCTGCCTCCGAGGCTGTCTGCTTTTTTGGGAGGCTTGAGAACCCTGCTCATCTACCCTATACCATCAGAGCTGCCCTCACCACCCTCAGAACGCCTGGGTCCTTTGTTCCCCAGCCCCCAGCAAGGCCTTCTGGGGCTTGCAGTGCCAAAGCTCAACATCCTAGGCTACCCTCTCCCCTATGGAGTCAGAAAGGCTATCAGAGCAAGCCTGGGGGCCCCTCTAGTGCAGGTATCTCCCTGTGCATCCCTCCTCCACAGCTCCATCTTCACCTCAGGGAGACTCCCTGCCCTGGGACCCCACCACTTCATATCCATTTGCATATACTTGTTGGTCCAGCCCAAGCAAATTAATGCAAATGCAGAGCAGAGGCAATGAACAGCAATGCCAGTTGGCCTTGATGCCAGGAGAGGACTCAATGGCTGAAAGAACCTCTTTTTCCAGAGATGGACTTTCAGGGAAACCAAGGCTGGAAAGAAGTGACTTGCTTGTGCATTCCTGGCTAGGATGCCTGATCCTCTGAAAACTTTCCAGGGCCACTGACCCGGGTTGTGTAACAGCGCTCTCCTTTTGCCCTTAGACCTCCTTTAACTCTGTCTCTTCTTTCACACACTTTCGATCTTTTTCCTTCTCTCTGATCTTCCCCTTCCCTGGGTCCTGACATTCCTTGCCCTCAGCACAGGCATCCTGCATCCCACCGTCATTCCCTGAGGGTGAGTAAAGCAGGTGATTCCTGTGGACTCTGAGAAGAGCTGAGAGCCTCCCCTTTCCCAGTAAACTCCCCGCTAACCTGCCCTGCTGCCAAAAAATTCCTACCATTAGAGTGTTTCTGTGAGTACCATGTTCTGTTTAAAGACACGTGCCACTGTGGTCTGGCTGACACATTCTGCTATTATCACCTTAGCATAAAGTAGGGACTTGGGATCCTCTGGTAGATTTGGGGTGGTTGGAGAAGAGAAGACCTGGAGTGAAAAAAGGAATAGACACTGTCTAGAAATGCATTCAGGCCGGGCGCGGTGGCTCACGCCTATAATCCCAGCACTTTGGGAGGCCAAGGCGGGTGGAACATGAGGTCAAGAGATTGAGACCATCCTGGTCAATGAGGTGAAACCCCGTCTCTACTAAAAATACGAAGAATTAGCTGGGCATGGTGGCGCGTGCCTATAATCCCAGCTACTCAGTAGGCTGAGGCAGGAGAATTGCCTGAACCCAGGAGGTGGAGGTTGCAGTGAGCCGAGATAGTGCCATTGCACTCCAGGCTGGGTAACAACAGCGAAACTTCGTCTCAAAAAAAAAGAAAGAAAGAAATGCATTCAATCAGTGGATGTTTACTGAACACTTTCTATGTCCTGGGCTCTGAGCTGGGTAGTAGGGATGAGGTGAACAAGAGCGGCTGCCTTCATGTAGAACAACAGGTGTTTCTCAAGCTTGAATTACACCGGCATCACCTTGGATAGTCATTAACACCCAAGTCCCCAGCCCAGCAATGTGCTCATGCTTATAATCCCAGCCCTCTGGGCGGCCAAGGTGGGCAGATCACCTGAGGTCAGGAGTTTGAGACCAGCCTGGTCAACGTGGTGAAACCCATCTCTACTAAAAATACAAAAATTAACCGGGCACATGCTTGTAATCCCAGCTATTTGGGAGGCTGAGGCAGGAGAATTGCCTGAACCCAGGAGGGAGAGGTTACAGTGAGCCAGGATGGAAGCATTGCACTCCAGCTTGGGCAGCAAGAGTGAAATTCCATCTCAAAACAGAAACAAACAAACAAAAAACCCCACAAAAACCCAAGTCCCCAAGCCTCTTTTGATCCAGTGAGTCTATGCGGGCCCAGGAATCTGCATTGAAACAAGCATTTTTCCCCTTCCCCGTCCCAGTGATGTAGCTGTAAGTGGTCTAGTGACCACACTTTTTTTTTTTTTTTGTATCTTTAGTAGAGATGGGGTTTTGTCACGTTGGCCAGACAGCTGTCGAACTCCTGACCAGGTGACCACACTTTGAAAAGCCCTGGTGGCAGATTCTATGTTCTAAGAACAGCCTGGAGTTTCAGGAATCCATTGAGGTAGAAAGATGGAGGGAGGTGCTGTCGAGAAGAGGCGGCCAAGGTAGGAGGTGACAGGCAGGGTCTTCTCCTCATGGTCTTCTGCCCCCACCCTGAGGGGGGCTGGGGAGTCACCAGGCTCTCTCTGCCTACAGGTCCTCCCTGGCCCTTCACCATCACTCGGGGCCTCCCTGGACCCTTCCCTGTGAGCAGAGGGTCTTCTATACTCAGGCCTCCCAGCACCCTGTTGATTCCCACCTTTCATCTCTCTCCAGGCCTCAGGGCATCTTCTCCTGAGTCTACAAAGTGTGGTCACCAATGGGGAAATGTGTCAGAGACCCCAGACCACACTCCTCACTCTAGCCCCCACCCCTGGTCTCAGAGGGCTTCCTGGAGTCAGTGTCTAGGCTGAAGAGAGAGGGCCTGAGAGGATGAGATTTGAGGAAGCAGGAATAGAGGTTGAGAGGGAAGGTGAAGGGAAGGAGGCTGCCCCTCCTCCCCTCCAGCACTTGGCGTTTGATGGTGGGGGGTGCCAAGACATCTCCTCTCCCGGAAACTCAAGGCCAGACAGATAAACACAGATGGAGGGAGAGACTCGGCTGCTTTATTTATGGGCCCAGTGACAGGCCCTCTCCTGTCTCAGAGTCACTAATCTGCCAGGCGGAAGAGACATCCCACTCCCTCACCACCCTCTTCCCTCCCTCCTAAGACTGGGGCTCAGCCAGGCTCCAAGCCTCCCCCAGGTGGTCAGACGGTGCCAGCTCCCATGGGCCAGAGGAGAGTGTCCAGAGGCTCAATAGACACACACTCTCTCTCCCCCAACAAAACAGGGTGTCCTTGAGAAGGTGGATACTTCAAATGCCTTGACTTGGAAAGCCCCCGAGGAGACACCCTGGGCTGGCCCAGCTTGGGGCTTGGGTCTATCCAGAGCAGGGATTGATGGGGGACCCCATGATGTCCCTGAGGGGTCAGACCCAGAGCTGAAGGGGGCTGCCCCTGACATGTTTCCTTCAAATTTACTTCCTCTACCAGCAACTAGCACTCAAATAAAGGGATCTTTGGGGACCCATCTTAATTGCTCTGTTGTCTCCACCTCCATCTTCTCCTCACCCACCCACACTTTCACAAATCTGCTCCTGTCACCCTCTAATGAAGGGTTAAAATCCACTGTGGCTGCTGGAGGGACCACCAGGAATAGCCCCGTCTCCCATCAGCTGGGAAACAAGGGGTTCTCTGATTTCCTTGATTCCTTCAGTTCCCTCTCTCTGCCCTGTGTCTGTCTGCGAGTGCCCCTTCATTCTGCCATCTTTACCGGGGTCTACCCCAAATCTCTGTGCGGGGGCAGACATGACTCAGCCTTACACAGAGAATGGGTTCCTTGGGCCCCAGGGTCAGAGGTCAGGGAGCACCAAAAGGGCAGGAAGCAGAGGGAGTCAGGGAGGGGGCAGATCCATACCTGTCAGTGGCTTTGAGGCCGGACACTCAGAGCCTTTAAAGCCCCCAGAGAGTCAGGGATTTGGCTCATGGGATCAGACTGCCCGGCTCCCTGACTCACGGTGGCCAGACCCAGACTGGGACCTGCTCAACTCGCCCCTCTCTTTTTCATTTAAGCAACTTTGGGTCATCCATGGGCCAAGGAGCCAGCCAATGTTACAAAAACGAAATGTTTCCCACTCCCACGGCCCCGCCCCATTGCTGGCACCTTATAGGAGCACACACACCCGAGCCTGGGAAAAAGGGGGTGATCTGCAATCTTGGCTCAGATTACAGTGAAGTCCTAGGCGGCTTCTTCTTCCGGTGAATGGGCATAGTTTGGGGGTAAATGGCATTTACTGGCCTCTTCCCCAACCATCTGCGAAATCATTTCAGATTCTCCTCTAGGAAGCTTTTCCCCTGTAACTTCACTCAGCCCCTTCCCTGTATCTTCTTCCCGTTCTCCCAGCACTACCTCAACAATTCCACTCATTTGCTGTCTGCCCTTGTTTCTGGTCTCTCCTGATGAATCAGGGATGTATTCTGTCTTCCCACTCAGGCTGAGAAATCTCTGTGGTCAAGAACTACGCCTCCCCTATCTGACCACCACTCCCTGACAGGGTCTCCTCTAGATCTGCTCCCTGCACTGAGCACAGGAAGCTGACTGCTGGCAGGGGAGGAGGCAGCAGGGGGGAGGCACGTCCACCTCTCCACTCCAGAAAGATTTTCACAAGTAGACAGATCACCCAAAGGAAGCCAGGGAGACATGGAAGCATAAGGGAGAGAATTCCCAGGACAGGTGACATTTTTTTATTTCAAATTTTTTTTTTAAGACAGGGTCTCACTCTGTCACCCAGGCTGGAGTCCAATGGTGTGATCCCGGCTCACTGCAGCGTCAGCCTCCTGGGCTCAAGTCATCCTCCCATCTCAGCCACTCAAATAGCTGGTACTACAAGCGCAACACCACCATACCTGTCTAACTAAAAAAAAAAAAAAATTATAGAGATGGGGCCTTCCCATGTTGCCCAGGCTGGTCTTGAACTCCTGAGTTCAAGTGATCCTTCCACCTCAGCCTTCTAATGTGCCAGGATTATAGGTGTGAGCCACTGTGCCCAGTTTATTTTTTGTTTAATTGGCCAATCACAATTGTATATATTTAGCAGTGAACATAACTTTTTTGTTGCTGTTGTTGTTTTGAGACAGTCTTGCTTTGTCCCCCAGGCTGGAGTGCAGTGGCACAATAGCTCACTGCAAACTCTGCCTCCCAAGTTCAAGTGATTCTCCTGCCTCAGCCTCCTGAGTAGCTGGGACTACAGGCACCCACCACCATGCCTGGCTAATTTTTGTATTTTTATTAGAGATGGGGTTTCACCACGTTGGTCAGGATGGTCTCAAACTCCTGACCTCAAGTGATCTGCCCACCTCGACTTCCCAAAGTGCTAGGATTACAGGCATGAGCCACCTTGCCTATTTTTATTTACTTATTGAGTTGGGATCTCACTCTGTCGCTCAGGCTGGAGTGCAGTGGTGCAACCATAGCTCACTACAGCCTCAAACTCCTGGGTTCGAGTGATCCTCCAGCCTCAGCCTTCTAAGTAGCTTGGACTACAGGCACGTGCCACCATGTCAGCTAATTTTTAATTTTTTTGCAGAGACAGGGTCTTGCTATGTTGCCCAGGCTGGGACATGACTTATAAAGTTGATGCTGAGGAAAAGAAGAGTGAGTTATTCCTCACCATGCTCAGGATTTTCTGGAGAGCTTCAGAATGCCTCCTCCTGCCCCACCTCCCCATTCCCACCCTATCCTTCCTTGGAGGTCCCAGACAGAGGGCTGCAGGAGTCTGCCTCATCTCTCACAAAGTTGTGTTGCACTTCCCCTCCTCCAACTTGTCCACCCTGCCCACCTGAGGGCCCTGGCTCCATGCCAGATGTCATCTGCTCAGCCTCACCCAGGGTCCTTACTCAGGACAGAACCAACTGGGGAGACAGTGTCTCCTCTTCCTCACAGCAGCTGCCAATGTCTAGGTCCCCTTCCATGCCCCTCATCTACCCGTGCATAAACACACTCTGAACCCGGGGGTACATCTCTGCCCGAGACAAGAAAGGTGGATGTGTGCTCAGCCTGAGTGTGTTTCTTACCTCCTTCTGTCCCCTCCCCTTCTTCAGGTGATTTTGGAATTTGTGATCTTGGAGAGGTCACTGCATTCCTCCCCAGGCCGCTGCCCCAACGCCCCAGCATCTCTTTTGGGTTTGAGACCACCACCACCCTGGAAAAGGAACCACCATACCCCTCCTAGTTCTTTTGAAACAATGAAATGTACCCTCCCTGCTCTGCTCTGCCCTGCCTGGGCAGTTGGGGCCTAACTTGAAATCCATCTTCATTGCCACCCTGTCTGCTGCAGATCTCTGAAGTTGCCTATGCTGACCACGGATCTCCTTGCCACCTCCTGGAGATAATGGACTTGACCTGTCCACCAGGGTCTCAGCCTGAGACCTGCACAGGGCTGCTAGGCTGGCTGGCTTCTGTGACTCTCATTTTGAAGGCTACCCTACTAAGCTTGGGCTGCTGGATCTCCCCATCCTGATTTCTAATAAGCAGAAAGCTAGGAAGGGCTCCAGTTGTCCCAAAGGCAATAAAAGCTCTCATTTACTGAGCCCTTACCACAAACTGGGCACATGCTTTTTAAAAATTTAATCTTCATTACAACTCCATACACAAGAAGAAATGGAGGCACCGACAGCCCACAGCAGCATTTCCCAGCCAGAATGCAGCCCTCTCTGGGTCACAGACACAGTCAAGGTCCTATGGACAACAGGAATGGCCCTCTGTGGACAAAGCTCTGCCCTGGGCAACTGAGAGAAGGGGCAGGGGACAAGAGAAGAAAGCAAGAGAAGACAGCTTCTCCAGGAGCTTTCAGTCTGATGGGGAGACAAGACCTCTGTCCTCTGGGAGTTGCTAGTCTGAGACAGGAATCAAATTGCACTTGAAAAATAGGTAGTTTCCTGTTCCCTAATGCCACCATCCAGGTGGCACCAGAGATCGCCGAGACCGCATGAGCCTGGCTCCCCACCATGTCCTAGGAATAAACAGAAATAAGATTCCTCTTCCCTGAGTCCCTAGAGCAAATGACAGAAGAAAAACCCTCTATGAGGTTGAAGGGTTCTTGCTAGAAGCAATAGATGCAAAGTCCAATTGACTTCCAGGGAAAAGGGCCTCACTTGGAGGAAAGTTCTTGGGGATGGTATTGGGCTTTCCCATCTAGAAGCAGGGGAATGGCTGGGATGAATGCTGAAGGCATCTTGGAATTCCATCCTATCCCATTTCCTCTCCTTCATCCTAGCCAAGCTCTGAGGATTATGACAGTGTGGGCAATAAAAACTGCCTAATTGGTTGTTGTCCAGCCGAGGCTGCTCCCCATTTCCCTTGGCGGGGGTGGGAAACCGGCTGAGTCAGTTTCACTTTTGCTATTGCCCAGTTTCCCCATTGTTGCTAGGCACTAGTGGAAGCAGGGCACCCCGTGGGAGTCAGGAGCTAGTCCCTGATGCTACCTCTGAGATAGGTGTCCCCCAAGGGTCAGAGGACCCCTAGAAAGTACCAGAATGTTAGGCCACAACTGCCCCTTCCCTGTGGAAAGAGGACAACTGGCAGGCTTCTCTCCAAATGCCCAGGGCCAACTCCACTGGCCTCTGAAGGAGTTGGGAGGAGGCACAGAAAACACCATTTCCCTGGGCTTTGGTGGTGAAGCTTCTGCAGCAGAGGGCAGAGATGGAGACATGGGCTCCAGAGCCAGGGTCCTGGCTGGAATCCTGTGTGAAGCCAGTGGTGTGATCTTGGGCAAGTTACTTAAGCTCACTATGCCTCAGTTTTCTCATCTGCAAAGTGGGACTGAATATAGGACCTATTTCATAGGGAAAATGGGCTTGAGTGAGTCAATGCACGTAAAGAGCTTGGAACAGTGCCTGGTATGCAGTAGGTGCTTAATAAATAGTAGCCATAAGCACTAGCTCAGCCTGGCAGTGGGCATGGGGAGATAAGATACAAGTCAGAATCTGGACATGGTGGGGATGAGAGTGGCTGGGTGAGATGACTTCTGAACAGAGATCCTGGGCTTCCCAAAGTCTGCTCATCAGGCAGCGAGATCCCAGTAAGCCAGGAGGGTCAGTGAGAGCTCCACCTGGGCTCTCTCCTGAGTGCTGCATCCCACTCAAGCCCTGCCACCATAGAGCCCTCGCTCCCACCATCTACCTTACCTCTCCCCACCTTCAGCATGAAGGCTGCTGTCTCCTTCCCATGTCTTTCCAGGAAGGGTGGAGCCAGGCACAGGCTCCTCACTTTCCTGGCAAACCTGCTGGCATCCCCCCACCCAGCCACATCCTCTCCCCCAGGAACGTGCGAACAAACTGTTCTTTCTGCTGGAGACACCCTGCTCCGTTTGCAGCTCTCGCCTCTTCCTCCTCCCTGAACTATCTCCAGTGGGACGTTCCCAGGCCAATATCATCCCTGCCTTGAGTCCTAACCAGCTCCAGCAACCTGGCCCCCTTCTCAATGCCCAGGTCTTGGATGAGTGCCCAGTCTCCCCCATCAGACTAGGAAGTTAAGCACTGTGTTCTGCCCTAGAATCCACTGGACCATGCAGTCCATCCATGACCCTCCAGGCCTCAACCACTGTTACCCTCTTTCTCTTTTCTTGGGTTTTCCATTTTGATCCAGGAAAGCAGCATAGTCACTGGGCTGCCTGCCACCTCCAATGCACCTGGGGGCTTGGCAGACAGACAGCCACCTGTCTCGGGAGGCTCAGGTGGATACTAACAGGCAGTGGAGGCCAAGAGCCTCCCCACCAGAGACCCCCCAGAAGCCCCTCCAGCATCGAAGCTGGAAACAGACCATTCAGTTAGGAGTCCAATCCCACCCAAACAGTGACTGATGCTGGAGGAGGTCCCAGAAAGACCCCCGGTTAGCTGCTGTCCTTCTTGGAAACCTTCTGCCTCTGCCCTGCCACTTCACTGCGGTCTCTTGAGGGGAGAGAGGCTTATGGGTGGGAGTCAGAGTGGGAGGAACTGCTGGGCTCCTAGGAGGGCAGTGGAGATTTATGGGACAGGATTTTTACAGGCTGGGGAGAGGCCCCAGGCAGGAGCCGTGGAGCCCAACAGAGAAGCAGAGGCATAAAACCTCTGGACATGAAAGTCCCAGCGGCAGGCCCCCCCAGGCCTGTGGGTGGTGAGGGATTTACAGCTCTTGCACAAGGCCTGCAGGGGCCCGGGGAGCTGCAAGGACACTTCAGAGCCAGAATAACTCCCCACCAAGGCCTTCACCTTTCTCCTCTAGGAAAAAAAAAATTACCAATAGAACAGGTTGGAGCTGCCAAGAAGATGGTTATCTCTGCTGAGCCCCTGCCCCACCTGGAGACAAGGTGGCTCCCAACTTCCTCCCCCTCCCTGAATTCTCCTCTCTGCCCTCAGGTCAGGGAGAGGTGCCTGGGGCAAGGCATGGGGTGTGGGGAGGGTGGGGGGGCAACTTCCTGAAGGGGCCTCCCCCTGGAGAAAATGGGGCTCAGGTTTTCACCATTCCTTTGCCCAGACAAGGAAGACACAGCAGTGGCCAGAATCCCTGACAAGCCCAGAGGCCCGGAAGAGGGCGGTGAGTGGATTCTGCCAGCTCCAATATGTAGGGAATGCTTTTACAGTGCAAATGTGGGTAGGAGTCTTACCTGACAGGAGACAAGGATGGGAAAATAAGGACATTAGGCTGGGTGCAGTGGCTCATGCCTGTAATCCCAGCATTTGGGGAAGCCGAGGCGGGCAGATCACCTGAGGTCAGGAGTTCGAGGCCAGCCTGACCAACATGGAGAAACCCCATCTCTACTAAAAATAAAGAATTAGCTGGGCGTGGTGGCCCATGCCTGTAATCCCAGCTACTTGGGAGGCTGAGGCAGGATAATCACTTGAACCTGGGAGGCGGAGGTTGCCGTGAGCTGAGATC